CCTATAATTGCTTTTGTCATCTATTATTTGGTTCTGTTTTTGGTGCTAAATATAGGTTTGAAGCGCATATAAATAATAATAATAAACAGTCTTTTTCTACAGTACCATTGAGGTGAGGTAGGCCAGTTTTGGTCACTGATCATCATCAAAACTTAATATGTATGCTGCTGACCAAATCATTGACAATCTATATAGGAGGACATCTTATAAGTAGGTGAAGAAAATATTAATATAGAAGAGAATGGTGGTTGATCGATGGAGCTGGAGATCTTACACTCTGTCATTCTTTTTCGTTGACATAGATAAAAGGCTATAATAAGTTACTGGTTTGAGAGGTACACCGAACTACAATTTTATTGCTTGATTAGGAGGACCTTGCAACTGCAAAATAAAAAAGTTGTTTGCTCAAGTTCTTGTTAGTCATGGTTCTTGAGTTGCAATGAAATATATTTTTATTTTTATTAGAAGCTGCTTTGTGAATCTCAACAAGTAATTATGCCGAGAATTTATTCCAGACCAGACCTACTAGGCCAACCAAACCATTGTTGCTTTTAATACGGATCATGAGCTTGTATTCTATTTTTGTGACTCAGATCATTTCTAAACTTTTGATCCAACAACCAAAACTTCTCCTCCAAAACAAGAGTTTCATCTCTCTCTCTCTCTCTCTCNTTAAAATAGTGAGATTGATTTTCTGGGCGCTCGAATTTATAATTTATCATGTCTCCAAGCTTGAGTTATGACTAGTATATATATATAGGATAAGTTAGGAATATGAAAATATTATAAGTATTCCGCATCCCTATCCGATATCTTGCGGAATATCAAAAAATCTTCTTTTGGCCTACTCGATTTTTTTGGGTAACTGATCAATTTTTTGCTTTTGATATACTTTATTTGGTTTTTTTTTGGATTGGGTTTATGTGGGCTTACTTAAATTAATGAAGTGATAACAGCTTACTTAAATTTGCTGAAACTGTATAAGTTATGCGGCTTAGCATGAGTTAATTTTAATGTAATTGATCATTTGCTTTAGAAGTGTTATTTAATGTGTTGTAGTTGGTCTATTTGATTGTTTTGGTGTTCTCCTTGTTCTTNTTGCTGAAACTGTATAAGTTATGCGGCTTAGCATGAGTTAATTTTAATGTAATTGATCATTTGCTTTAGAAGTGTTATTTGATGGAACTTTTCTGAAATACTCCATGATGAAGACACGTGTTCTCGGTATTTACCAAAACACTATTGCTAAGATCAAGCATCATCGGCGCATAAAGGTCCTCGCCCCTGAGGTACTCGTCATATAGGATCATGGCATNTTGCTAAATCTGGAATCATATAAGATCTTTGAATTTGTCATTGAGTAAATGCTTTTCTTTACTTCAACTAAATCATTGAACTTTTTATTTTATTATTTGTGTTAGGTTACACCGTAAACCATGATGATTTTGGAGTTGTTGATTTCAATATTGAACTTTTTATTTTATTATTTGTTTAATAGTATGTGTTGTGGTTAATAACNCTAAATCATTGAACTTTTTATTTTATTATTTGTGTTAGGTTACACCGTAAACCATGATGATTTTGGAGTTGTTGATTTCAATATTGAACTTTTTATTTTATTATTTGTTTAATAGTATGTGTTGTGGTTAATAACAATGATTTTACTTAGTCATACAGTGGTTTTCATACTTAGTAATTTTTGGACTTGGGGTAACTATTTTTCTCTTTTACCAAGTACGTAATACTAAAATTATTCTTTTTAATTTTCATATTATTTGTTGATTGTGATAAATGATTGGCCGAAAGAATATCCATTACAAAAAACTTTATTGAATTTTAATTTTACGTAAGCAATGTATAAAATAAGTTTAAAAAAAAACTCAAATAATAAAGTCTCTTATAATTCTACAAACAATTGCCTGAACCTGAAGGCATTATTTAACCAAAAAAAAAAAGACATAATTCTAATAAATTGAAAAAAAAAAACAATTCAAAGTCAAAGCTAATCTATAATATAAAACAGAGCGGCTTCAACAAACCGATCCCTTGGTCTCAAATTCATTCATTCAATAGTCAAGAAATTACAATTGTTTTCCTTAATATTTTTCCCCCCAATAAGTCAACGATTACGGCTGATCTTAGAACATATTTTACGGTCTCAAATTTATTTATCAAACAGTCAAGAAATTAACATTTGTTTCCTTAATATTTTTCCTCATAACCGGTCAACGATTACGACTGATTTTAGAATACATGATTTTCTTTGACATAATAATTAAATCGGTCAAATTAGCTATTAATATTTTATGTATAGTGTAATATTTTGAATTTGTATAAGACACAATGATAACATTTTGATTAAAAAAAACTCATCAATTTAAGATTAAACAAAGACAATGGCATTACTTAACACATTTATATTGAATATAATTAATTTAAATTTTATTTGTTTAATTAATTATCTCAAACTAACATGTTTTATATATATCTTGAATAAAAAATTCAAGATTATTATTTTTATATCTTAAGGAAATCCAACACCAATATATTCTTTTAAATTAATAATTTTGTAATAACTTGTAATAATTAAAAAAATAATATTTTATAAATGATATTTGTAGATTTTTTTTTGATAGAAAATATTTTGGCAATATACTTTTTGATAAATTAAAATTTTAGTTGGTATTAAATTTAACTCGATTTTGATTATATGTATATAAATTAATATTCAATGTTAATTACATGTATATAAATTAATGTTTTTTTTAAGTCAATTCTATTTTATTTTGTGGATTATATAATATAAAACAGGGCGGGTTCAACAAGCCCATCCAACGGTCTCAAATAAACTTATCCAACGATCGCCAACATCTCTCTCAATACCATTTATATTGAATTTTTCCTTTTTCTTCTCATTCTTCACTCTCTTTCTCTGGTAGTGGCGGAGGGAGGAGGGGTCAGGGGGGTACCTTGAAAAAAAATATTTTTTTTTAATTATATATGTTTTATATTTTTTTAGATTAGTTGGACCCACTGTAAGAATTTATGAAAAATAAAATTCATTGAATCAAACAAGTTGGGTACTAGAACAAAAAAACAAAAACAAAAGGTCCATACCAAATCTCTTAAAATTAACAAATTAAAATTAATTCCTTAGAGTATTGATATGATTTGTTGAAGTCTCATTTGATTCAAAAATTATATAATAGATAGCCAAAAATGAGTAAAATATAGAATTTATAAAAAAATTAAAAATTATAGAATATTGCTTTTATTTATATCAAATAAATTATATTATTGATCCTTAATAGATGTTATCTTATTAATTTTTTTCAAATAGACATTTTTTTATGTTTAATGAATTTTTAAATATCAAATCTAATATAAAAAATATAAAATGTGCCCACCCTAAATCATATATTTGACTCTGTCACTGTTCTTAAAGATCTTCACTCATTACCTTTTCAAATTAATTGGTTAATTTATATTGCACCGTGCCTTCAGGCACGGATTACTCCTAGTTACCAATAAAATAAGGCAGTCCTGTGTGTCCCCATCCCCCCCCCCACCCCACCTCTAAAAAAAAAAAAATAATTCCCAAGATAGTCACAAATAAAAAAAAAACAAGCGATACCAATTTCGTTATATGAAAATCTATAGTTCTCAAAAAAAAAAAAAAGCAAAGCCCAAATTAATCATCAATAAAAAAAAAAAGTGATATCGATTGCACCAAAAAAAATAAAAAAATCAAAGTCAGTCAAATCGCGATCACCACTTCCACACCAACAAAAACTACAAATATATAATTCATAAATAAAACATTTAATCTATTATTTATACAAAAAAAAAAATCAAACAGAAGTGCAATACAAACGTCCATTTTAATCACAAATGTCCCATTAGTATTTTTTTTCCTTATGTATTTATATATATGATGTTATTTTTGGAATGTTTTGTATATTTTTGTGAAAGTTTTATTAATATGGAGGATATGTTCAAGGGCATATTTCGGATCATTTTAAAATAATTGGTTTGAATATTTTCGAGCCATTCTTTTTAAAATTGGATAATTGCTTATGATTTTTTTTATATTACATGGTGCCTTTAGCCGGAGACGATGAATAGGAGTTTCAATATTATAGCAAGGTAAGGGACCCAACATGTTTTTTAATTATACACATACACAGTCGACACTATGTCATCAAATTTAATTTAATTTGGGCCAAAATTTAGGGTGTTAACTCTGATATTTTGATACGAAGTCAACTCGAACGATTATAAAATTGACATTATTATTAAATACATATAATAAATAATTTAAATTAATATTTATAACACATTAAATAGATTTTTTTCATAAATCTTAAAAAATACGATATGAATAATAATAACACGATATAAATGACATTTAATGCTATGTTGACTAAATTTAGAGTTTAAATGAATTGACAATATATTATTTGGAGTCTAAATGATATGACACCAAATAAAGAAGGTCAAGTCATTTAGACTCTAAATTTAATTTTAAAATTTGATTAGAAGATTACTCATGTGCTATTCATCCATCCGCAGCCCCGCGTTAAAGACTAATTGATCCCATGGTACCTACAATCAACTCTATGGACCAATTAGCCTAATCCCCATCCACGTGCTCCTCCTGTGGCTGTCTGTCTCAACATGTGTTTATGTAGTAGTAGTCAAAATAATATCCGTGGCAGGTAGGCAGGCAAGGAACGTGAAAAACGCGATTTAGAAATATACCCAATAGTAATACGATACCCCCAATATTGATCAATATTGGGAATGAGGAATACGATAGCAGTAGTAGTACAATCAATCACTCCTAAACTAGCAAGCAAGTTTAGGAGTAGCATTCAAATCCTAATCCACTCCGATCTCTGTGTTTATTCGGGCCAATGGCCAAGTGTTGGGAGAGATTTTGGTTGGGGGCAATAAACGTTTATTAAAGTACAAAGAGAAACATTTGCCAATCGGAGCACCAACGTTTCTCGACCGCTTATCTATCGCATCCTTATCCTTTTCAGCTCCCCGTTTGAATTCCCTTACGCAAGCATCCCCACTTTGTCTTCTTCTGTCAGCTCTCCTGCAAAAACCCATAATAATTCCTCTTCTTCATTCCTCTCTCTCTCTCATCTCATCTTCCCCCACAATCTTCCAATGAAACCTAGCTAGGGTTTATCTTTCCTCCTGGTTCTTTCTTTTAAACCCTCGAGTCATCGATTTGCTTATTGGCTGTGCCTTTGTTCAATTGAATCGAGGGTTTTGCTTTCTTTTTGCATTCATTTATTGTTTCCTAGTGCTCCATATGGCTTTGGTTTCGGCTTTATTTGAGATCTTGCAAAGACCCTCGATTGCCGATGTGTTGATGGAGCTCATGCTGTTCTTGACACCTCTTTGGATTGCGGTTTTTGTTGGTGTTCTGGTTGGATGGTCTTGGAGGCCTAAATGGGCCAATATTAACAGGGGCTGTGTGGGAGATTCTCCACCATCGCCCGCTTCCTCTTCTGGCCAGCCCTTGCCAACGCCTTTTGGTTCGATTCCGAGCTTGAATTCATTAAAACTGCAATTGCCCACCTGCATTTCTTGGATTGCTGACCGTACCTTTACCAAGGAAACAACATCTGCATCTTCAAACTCGAATTCTGACTGCAGGTGGGTTGGGTTTCTCTATTTTTTAAATTTCTCTGTACAGGGTTGGTAAAAGAATAAAATTGTTACTTTAATCAGTCTAACCTCTTGGTCAGAAATTCCAACTCACGCTTTCAGTTTGACTGATTCTACGTAATTTTTGCCTACATGTTGGGAAATCATTTGGAATTGAAAGTTTGTAGCTTTTGACAGCTTGATTGTATATGATCAGTTTATCGCAGCTAGAAAGAGAAAAATCGGGTCTAGTGACGGAAGGTGACTTGGTACATTTATGCCGACTTGTCGAGGAAAATGATGCAGGCCCTGCTTGGATTCAGATGATGGACCGGTCTACACCGAATATGAGCTATAAAGCTTGGCGGAGGGATCCTGAGGTATGCTTTACTTTCTCGACGTGTTGTATACTTGTCGTCTTCTGGATACATTGGCACCTGTTACTGAACCTATGACTACTTATACCAAGTCTTCCTACCTCTAAATGGTGCATATACATGTTCTTACTTGCATTATTTTGTAGTGATTATGCCATCTGTGTGCTTAACTCTGCATTACATTTGATTGGCTTCTGTAGACTGGGCCTCCACAATATCGTAGCAGAACTGTCTACGAGGATGCCACCCCTGAAATGCTGAGAGACTTCTTTTGGGATGATGAGTTTCGATTGAAGTGGGATGACATGCTTATACATGCTGAAATCTTGGAGAAGTGCCCCACCACAGGAAACATGGTTGTCCGCTGGGTGCGCAAGGTAGGAGTAGCATCTCTTGTGCCTATATTATGCTGTCTTTCTGCACGTAACATTGACTAATTTAGGGCAATGCTTTTCCATGGCACAGTTTCCCTTGTTCTGTAGCGACAGGGAATACATTATAGGCCGTCGAATATGGGAATCAGGACAAACGTACTATTGTGTTACTAAGGTGAGAGATCCATGAATTATCCCTACTGTCTAGTTATCCTCGGTCCATATTGTATATCTGCTTGTTACTTTGAAATCGTGTTAAGGAACTAACAGAACTGCTCTTATTTTGTGCATCTTCCACCTTGGGCATAATTACTTCTGGCCAAATCTCTGCCCAACAAATGGTTCTGAAGTATCTGTCTTGTCCCTTCACAGTCCTCACCAATAGATCTTTACCAAGCCATTTATACTTGTAAAGCACAAGTTATTAAATGGTTAATGCATACTTTATGCTACTCATACGGCCATACCCCTAATTCTTCCATTATTTGCATGAGAAAGGCTCTGAGTAGAAAAAGAGTTTGCAAATTGGCTTTTGGAAATGGAGGGTAATCTTAATATTTTCAACTTTGCATGGCTGAGTGTATTTCTGTGTCAGACAGACACTATTGTGCTAGGATGATGATTTTGAAGCTAGTGTAAATTTGGTTTAGAGTCCATCGGTCTTTCGACTCTGGTCTGGGTCATTTTGGATCGTGGAGTGTTACTTTGATTACTGGCTGTCCACCGTGGATAGTTTTTTTGTATGGTTTCATATTCTGTGATGTAGATTCTTTTGTGTTCTTCTGTGGTCTGTTTTTGGCCCTGTTTTGGCATCGTCTCCATGGCCTTATATGTGCAGAGGCAAGATAGTGATGGGGCAGTTGCTGATTGTGGGGCTGAGGTAGAAGTGACAATATGAATATCAGAGAAGTCCCTGTTGAAATATGCAGGAACATTGATATGCTGTCCTTTTAAAATAGTGCTTAAATATATATTGATAAGTTTTCTTTCTGATTATGTGTGGTCTCTAGGGTTTCAATTTGTATGGGTTTGTCTGTGTTTCAGGGTGTACCCTGCTCCTATGTGCCGCAGTGCAACAAACCAAGACGTGTAGATTTGTATTACTCAAGTTGGTGTATTCGTGCAGGTAATTCAGAATTGAGAGCCTATTTGTATTACAAGCTCTTTTGTTACTTCAATGGTGGTTTAATGAATCTAATTGGAAGATTGCATGTTGCCCTGAAAAACTGTGCACAACAGTTGTGGCAATAGTTTCATGCAATTTGATCAAATGATTGTTATGCATGGATTTCTCAATTTTCATCTGTTGTGTAAAACAACTTTCTTGGTCTTTGAGTCTGTCTGCAATGGGAAAAGCAACTTATGCACTCCGAAAATGAAATAATTTCTCTTTAAGACGACTTCTTACCATCAAGTCCAATCAATGACAAAGATGTATGTCTACTTGCATGAATCAGTTGAATCAAAGAGAGGCGATGGCCAACTGACTGCATGTGAGGTGTTACTCTTTCATCATGAAGATATGGGCTTTTCTTGGGAAATTGCAAAGCTTGGTGTCCGGCAGGGTATGTGGGGAGCTGTCAAGAAGATCGACGCAGGTTTACGTGCATACCAGAGGGAGAGAGCATCCGGAGCTCCACTCTCACAATGTGCTTCCATGGCTCAGATCAAGACCAAAGTTAGTGCAGATTACCTGAGATCATTGGAGGGCACAAAAACTAGTACATCAGAGGTTGAAACCCTGGATTCATCTGAGAAGCCACTGGGGAGGAACATACCCAAGTTTCTAGTCGTTGGGGGGGCTATTGCCCTTGTTTGTAGTCTTGACCAGGGGCTTTTGACTAAGGCAGTAATATTTGGAGTTGCCAGAAGGCTTGCAAAGATTGGAAAGAGCTTGTGATGCTGGATGCTTTGGCATCTTACTTGAAGATGCTGGCCAAAGAAACCTGCTCTGCTCTCGCAGCGAGGCAGAAGCATCTCGAGGCTAGAACTGGAATTCTTGCTTCTCTCAGTGTCAGGGATAGCAGGTTGCATTCCTTTTCTTTTGGTTTGAGCTGTGAGGCAGCTACTGGTCAGGAAGAGAGAATAGATGGTGTAGAACTGTATTCTTTGACAATCGAAATCTCATTGATGGATCTCATACTCTCCACAAATAAATGACAGGCATATTCGATTTCTCCGTGACATTCTGGTTGTTGGTTTATTTTTCATTTCGTTTACCAATTTGTTGATGCGGTTGTGCTCTGATGCAAATTTCATATATGTTTATTTAAATATAGGCTACATGTAATTTGTAAAATTTCAACTAAATAATTATTTGATGGAATTGAATTTTTTAATGAATTTAGATATAACCTAAAAAATAAAATATATCGAATTATGGGATCATAATATTCAAAGTAAATATAAATTCAGATGAATTAAAATTTAGTTTGATAATGCTAGTTTGAATGAGATTCATTAATCATTCTTTGCAAGTAAAACATATTACCCAAGCAAATTCAAAAAAAAAAAAAAAAATACATGCATTTCAAGATTCATTAATGTATAGATCTTTGAATACAGAGAGTATGTAATTAGGACAAGTCTACATAATTGTCAAATTTTATGGTAATATACTAAAAATAATTTAAAATCGGATATTTTAATTTAATTCATTTATATTTATTAATGAAAAATTATAAACATAATTTAAAATAACAAAATAAAATAATTTCACATTATTACATATTTATAACATATTAAACTGAAAAGTAATTTTTCAAGACTATAATTACTAGGGGTGCAACTTGGGTTTGGCAACCCGAGCTCAACCCGAAAAAATTAGAGTTTGGGTAAGAGTTTTTAATACTTGGGTTGAACTTTGGTCAAAAAATTCCAACCCGAATTTAATTTGGATTGGGCTCGGGTTAAGGCCTCGTGAACCCGAGTTTCACCCGAACCCGACAAATTAAAAAAAAATTATATATATAAAACATTAGCACTGATTTTTTATTTTTGTTATATTATTCTCTGTCTTTCTCGTTCTTTTAGTCTTTCTCGTTAAAAACTTGGTTGAAGTTATTGGTTGCTAATTTAGGTGAATATTATATAATATATGTATTAGGTTTAGAACAATAAGCTTATTTTGGGCTCTACCCGAATTTAACCGAATTAAACTTGGGCAGTGATTGGGTTGAGTTCCCCAATCCGAGGTAGGGTTAGGGTTAAGATTAAACTTAAGATTAAAAATTATATACCTAGAGTTAAACTATAATTGATTGTCCGATCCGTTCAACCCATCCGAGTTACGCCCCTAATAATTACACCCAATTAGCCATATTTACTTTTACAAAGTTAAAGGCTCGCATGGCATGAGAATGGATGGATTCATTAACTGTCCTATCGGCGACGAACTGGAGCACATATATTTCTGTTTTTGAGGTGGGTGAGATCTGATGGGAATGGCCTGGACCCCCCCAACCAGGCCATACTGACGGTCGGTGACGATTGACCTCTCTAAATGAGGAAAGCGTGGGGATGTTAAATAATACACCATCCATCCGTTTTTAAATATATCTCGTTTAAGATTTTTACACAAAAATTAAAAAAATTATTAAATAGTTGAGTAAAAAAAAATTACACAACACTAAAATACTTTTATTCAATACGTATTGAAAAAAAAAAGAATATGAAAATCATTTAGCCTCTATCTAATCTAATGCATTAAAAAGTTAAGGATAAATTTTTTTTAAAAAATATTAATTATGTTTTAGTTTCATTAAACGACAGATATTATAGAATAAAAAAAATTGGATAAAACGATAAATATTTAANGATAAAACGACAAATATTTAAGAACGGAGGGAGAAATAAATAGGAAAAATTACAATAAGTCACTTAATCGGTTAAATTTTTTAACATTTAAATATTGTACACAGACTCCCTAAAATTTGAACATGCGTAACACTTAGATCTCTGTTATCAATGTCCATTACTCTATCTGTTAGTAAATTATATTTAAACTCCCTAAAATTTATAAGTTTGTAATACTTAAACTATTCAATTTTAAAATATTACAATTAAATTTATTATTAGTTATGAAACTAACAGAATTTCTTAAACGGCCAAATTATCTTAATTAAAAATAGAATATATTGTATTCATTTACAGTTTGACTCTTTATTTAGTTTTATTTCATTAGATAGTATAATTATATATAAATAAGTGTTTAATCGAGTTATTTAATATATTTATATTGATTACTATACGCAGTTTATATCTTTGAATCTCTTATTAATTTAGACATCGAAGAGTTGACCTCTAAAGCAATCCCTCTGGTCTTCGACTTCTTTTTTGAGTGATCTAAGCCCAATAAATAGACGTGTAGGCCATCCAAATTTTTGACATCAACAGTATTAATTAGGAATAATTTTGGCCACATCCTTTGTAGTTTATCATATTTTAAGGACACCCTCTCTATTATCAAAAATACTAATAACATCCCTTCTAGTTTATATTTAAATATCATTAACATCCCCTTATCGTTAAACCAACCTTTTCTAACAAAAAATTTCATGTGAATATTAAAGTTGCCCCTAAATAAATCTCAAATAATCTTTTTATATAAAATTCAAGCCGAATAAAATTCATTTTTTAACATATATAAAATTTGAATATATTCAAATTGATTAAATTTTATTTCTTTACGTATTAACATTCAAGCCTATTAAATTGAGTAGATTTGAGCTTTACTTGATCCGTTAGCGTCGATTAAAATTTATATTTTTTTATTTATTAAAATTCAATTTAAATTAATTAAAATTTATTTTTTACGTTTTAAAATTTGAGTCTATTAAATTTTATTTTTTTTATGTCTCAAAATTGGGGTCGATTAAAATTTGATTCGAGCAGTTCGAATAGAATTTTAATCAGCTCTAATTTTAATACGTAAAAAAATATAATTTTTAATAAGTAAAAAATAAATTTTAATTAACTCAAATTTAATTTTAATATGCCCAAATTTTAATATATAAAAAAAATTTAGAATACACGAGGAGTCTCATTGAAGATATTTTTATTTAGAGGGCATGTGGATGAAGTTTTTTCTAAAATTTATCATGGGTATTTTTGTAAAATTATGCTTTAGTTAATACATTTAATCTGATAGGAAGTGTTAGTGAATATTCAAAAAATAGAATGAGTGTCCTTAAAAATATAGTAAATTAAAAAGGGTTTGACTATAATTTTTCTTATTAATTATGAATTCTTAAAACTTAAAGGATTTAAATATTATATCTTATAAATTTTAGGGGATCTAGATATAATTTATTAGCAGATAGACTAATGAAAATTGACGGTTGGAGTTTAAGTATTATGTGTATACAAACTTTAGAGATCCGTTTGTAATATTTTAAATATTAAATGTCTAAGTGACAAATTTTAAAGCGTTGGTGTAATTTGTCTTAATAATAATACAAATGTTTGTAAATACCGGCAGAAGGAAGGGACTCGCACCGAAACCATATCAAGAAGAATTACAGAGAAAGCGAGGCGGTCGAGATCCGGCGAACTTCGTCGGGTTTCGTTCATTCCATTTGGAGCTTCCACAAGATCTGTTCCGTTCATCTGTGCTGGGGTCTTCTAATCGGACAGTGGTGTCATGAAAATGAAGGGCTCTTGCTCTTTTGTTGCGTCCGCACTCGTCGCATCTACAGTGGCTCTCACCTCTTCCTCGGCTCATCCTGACGTCTCTTTCAATCCCTGCTCCAATATGGTAACTTCTTCTCCTCTTGTCTATTTTGGTTCTGTAACTGTCCTGTTCACGTTAATTTCTCAGATTTTCACCATCTAATTTAAGTTGCACATCGTCTATTATTGCTTTCACCTTTTGTTTACATTTTTCGAGTTTGAAATTGACAAATATTTTGTTCTAGATTTCGTGGCTTGTTGATCGAATTGGGACTGATGAAATTAAAGCAGGATTTCATGTGGCTCTATGAATAAGATTGGAAATTAACCTTTTGATCTTAGCTAAAAATACTCTCTCGTCTCTTCCCCTGAATGCTTTATCTGCCTAATATTATATTTTCGACGTTTACAAATTGTGCTTGTGAATTTTCGTGTTAATTTGAAGTTCAAATGAGATCATCCGTTCAAACCAATGACTGAATTCCTGGAATTGTAAGCTATAGTTCATCTTTCCTGATGTTCTACATTAGTTCAATTATATTTTTTCCTGTAAGTACTAATTCAATTTATCATGTATGGTTTTGACAGGGCTCATCTTCTTCTTCGGGGAAGGGTGGCGCTACCACTTGTCAAGTGATGTCGTCCGATAGGGAGAAATTCGCCCCAAGATTTGATGGCTTGAGGTTCATCGAGACTTTGGTGACGGCACACAGGTGACCCAGAGACGAGAGCCGTCTGTCTCTTTCGCCTAATCGTATTGCATGGACGGTTGTGAAAGGCAGCGTTAATTGTTGACTATAGCATTATTTGTAAAGATTCGAAAAACAGCATTAACTATAGGCCTGTAGTCCCATTTAATTATTATTGTTCTGCTCTGCTCTGATATTTGATTTGTGATTGATGGGAGGGTCATTTTCGTCGGTTTCCCTTGTGTTTTTTTATGTTGTTGTTCCACTTCCAACTCCTCATTCATTTGTCTTTGTACCGGAAATTTAGGGCTTGTTTGAAATCATCTTATATGGTGTTACTGAAGGATATGAGCTGTTTGAATGTGTACCCTGCAATTTTATTATACTCAGCGGGCGAATTGGTTGGTTTGGTGGAAGTTTCATTTGCTTGGCTGGTTCCTTGATCATTTGCTTAGCTTGTTCCTGGCGTCTGGCTAGAATTAGATATTGATAGGCAAGCAACTAAATTACTTGCCTTTCTAGGCGAAGGGTTGAATGTCTGCATCTTTATTCACTTGCCTACATAAAAACTATGCATCCGTTAGTCTCGGTCACGGTTTCCAGCCGAGTGTATTTGATTCTCCACAGGTGGGGTGGTGGTAATTGTGTGTTGTTGAATGTTTTTCATTGTTCTTCTTCTGTTGTGAAGACAACGGGGTTGCCCTGTTTATGGTATATATGGTTGGCATCAAACTTTCCATTTCACATGTAATTATTGGTGTGGTTCATGAATCATGATGTACATCTAAGGGCATATATCTGTTAAATATGTTTTTTTATGGAACATCTTATAAGAAATTTTAATGATTCGTATATGAAATTTAGAACATTTAAATTATAAGGTTTAGAATATACTTGTATGAGTTACGATATTCGATTTTCGAATTTCTTTCTTGAAATGATAAAATCTTTTTCTCATTCTTCAAAGTAATAGACGACCCTCAATGGGATAAACTAAATTAGGGTTATAAAGTGAAAATGGGACCTAGCTTGTTATTTAAAAGATATACATAAGCCCATTAAAATAAATCACTTAATATTATTGGGCATATCTCATTGGACCATAAATTCAGTCCGTTTTTCACAAACTAAAATTAACTATCAATTAATGACAGTCAAATATAGAAAAAATTTTAACATTTTCCCACTTGGACAACATTAATTATAATCATTTAGAAATAAAATAAAATTATATGTATTATTTGAAAACGACTCTAGGCTAATCAAACAAAACTCAATGTGGCCACAATAAAAAATAATGTGGTCTTGAGACAACATCTCAAACACAATCCAGTCCAATAAAACTACTATTTTCGAACCATGACGGTTTTTACATCCTTTATTGACATAGGACTAATCCATGATATCAAAAAATAATAATTCTATTGACATGGATCAAGATGTGATAATGTAGTAAGAAAATAACATCTCAATATGTGATCTGATAAACATGTTATTTTCATTGTCAGTTCACCAAATGATTTCTCTTTAACAACATGTTTCAATAATAAGCTAGAGAAATCCATTAGTTTCAACAATAAACTAGTATGTCTCCAAACTTAAAATTACAAGATTTTCTCAAATGGTGTAATCAGAAACATACTCAATTGACAAACCAGTCATACTTAAGACATATACCAAGTCTTAAGATTTTGTATAAAATGACATATCATAAATGTGTACACATATAACATAACAAGAATATTATACTAACAATAAACATATTCATCAAATATTTATTATTCATCAAATAGATGTATCTCAACCATAATGAGTAGCAAATATCACATATGAAATTAAATAAACATTAAAGTTCTTAACATATAAAAAAAAACTCTCACTAACCAAGTACATCAAAAGATCCTAAAATATCCATATTGTCAACATGTTTCTTAAAAGTTACAGGTTTTAGTCACATGGTTAAAGGATCAGCAAACATTGATTTTGTATCAATATGTTCAATCAAAATGTCACATTTCTTCACAAGATCCCTAACAGAAAGATATTTAATTTTCATATGTTTACACCCACTAGAATGTTTATTGTTCTTTGAGAAGAACACAGCTGCATTATTATCACAATAAATTGTTAATGGTCTAGAGATGAAATCAACAATCATAAGTCTTGAAATAAAATTCCTTAGCTATATAGCTTGTGTTGTAACTCCATAACAAGCTACAAATTCAGCTTGCATAATGGAAGAAACTGTGAGAGTTTGTTTAATATTCTTCTATGATATTGCTCCTTCGGCTAACATGAAAATATATCCTAAAGTGGATTTTAAATCATCCTGATACCCAGTAAGATCTGAATCTGAGTAATCAATCACCTCAAGATTATCAACTCTCCTATAAACAAACATGTAATTTTTTGTTCTCTGCAAGTATCTCATAACTTTCTTAGGTGTCACCCAATGATCTAATCCTGGTTTGAAAAGATATCTGCCAAGAATACTAATTGTAAAAGTAATGTTAGGCCTAGTACAAACCTGTGCATACATTAAATTGCTAACAACACTCGCATAAAGTATACTCTTGATAAACTCCTTCTCAAGATCATTCTTAAGGCATTGATTTAAACTAAATTTATCACCTTTCACAACAGGTACATCCCCAAACTTACAATTATGCATATTAAATCTTTCAAGCACACGATCTATATATGTCATTTGAGAAAGTCCCAATAATCCATGACTTCTATTCCGATGAATCTGAATGCCTAACACAAAAGATGTTTCCTCAAGATCTTTTATGTTAAATATTTTGCACAACAATTGCTTAATCTCATGAAGTAAGCCTAAATCATTACTTGAAAGCAAAATATCATTAACATAAAGAATAAGAAAAATAAATTTGCTCTCACTGACCTTAAGATATATGCATTGATCCATCTTGTTCTCAACAAAACCAAGAGAACTTACTATCTTATTAAATTTCAAGTACCACTGACGAGAAACCTGTTTGAGACCATAGATAGACTTCTTCAACTTGCACACTAAATATTTTTTTCCATTCTCCTTAAAACCTTCAGGTTGCATCATATAAATTTCTTTATGAAGCTCACCATTCAGAAAAGTTGTCTTCACATCTATCTAGTGAAGTTCTTGATCAAAATAAGTCACTAATGCCATAATGATCCTAAAAGAATTTTTAGCAGAAATAGGTGAGAAAATTTCATTAAAATCTATACATTCCCTCTGCCTATACCCTTATTACTACCAATCTAGCTTTAAATCTTTTAATCTTACCTTTGGAATCCATCTTAGTTTTAAACACCCATTTACAACCAATGAGTTTACATCCCTCAAGAAGTTCCACAACCTCTCACACTTCATTGTGTGTCATACAATACATCTCATCTTTCATGGCACCTAGCCATATATTAGATTCAGGATAAATAATAGCATCATGGTATGTTACAGAATCACCAATATCATAATCACTTTCACCAAGGTATACATAATATTCATCAGAAATAACAGGTCTCCTCGATCTTGTAGACCTTCTCAAGGAAAATTCAATAGTAGGCTCTAAGGGTTGAAGAGCCTTAATAAGAACAGAACGTTCAATTGTAAGAACAGGAGGATCAACAACTAAAGTAGAAAAATTAACAATAAGAGCAAATATAATATTCTCTTGCACAACAGGTAAATGAATAGAAATAAATTTATCTTTCTCATGCACACTAATAGGTTGTGAACAACTAATATCAACAACATCAAGCTCTAGAAATTTTGTTGTTAAGGACTTAACAATTTTAGTACCACGTGTAGGACAATAGAACTGATATCCTTTAGAATGTTCTGGGTAATCTATGAAAAAACAACGAGTAGTTCTAGGATCAGTCTTTTTCTCAAAAGGGTTTTAAATTTTGACTTCAGTAGGATAACCACAGACTCGAAAATGGTTAAGGTTTGGTTTTCTATTGGTTCATAATTCAAAAGGTATTTTTGAAACAGATTTGCTAGGAACTCTATTAATAATGTATGAAGCAGTTTTAATGACTTCTCCCCAAAGATAATCAGGTAAGTTACATCTACTCATTATGCTTCTCATCATGTCTTTAAGGGAGCGATTACGTCTTTCAGTCACACCATTCTGCTTGGGACTATCAAAAATAGTATATTGGGCAACAATCCCACAATCTTGCAAGTAGTTGGCAAACGGTCCTAATTACTGCACAGACACGTCATGTTTGTCATCACCACAGTCAGACCTAACAATTTTGATGACTTTTTCTAATTGTTTCTCTACCTCAGTCTTGAAGATTTTAAACTTTTCAAGAACAACAAATTTTTCATTAATTAAATATATATATCCATAACGAGAGAAGTCATCAATAAATGTAATAAAATATTTATTACCAGACAATGTACGTGAGTAAGGTGTACTGATGTTAGTGTGAATGATTTCTAAAAGATCTAGATTGCGAGTTGCACTTTTCTTCTTAGTCTTGATCAATTTATTCCTAATGCAGTCAACACAAGTTTCAAGGTCTCCAAAATCAAGGGGAGGAAGAATATTATTCTTCATTATTCTTTCTACTCTTTTTCTAGAAATGTGACCCAAATGTTTATGCCACAACTGTGAAGATTTTTTTTTAATGAAATGTCTCTTAGATACAACATTCACAATATTTTAAAGATCATATTCATTATTGACAACCAAGTATATACTATATAGAATATCTGATAAAACACAATGACCAACAATTTTAGAATTTAAAGACAATTGAGTTTGATCATTACTAAAATTAAAACAATATCCAATTTTATCAAGCAAAGAAACTGAAATCAAATTCCGCCTAAATGACGGTACATAAAAAGTATTTTCTAAAAGAAGTTGAAAATCAGTGTCTAAATTCAACCTAACGGTTTCTATGAACTTAACATGGACTTCATTATTATCTCCTACTTTAAACTTGACTTTCCCTTCATTTGGCCTTCGTTTGCTTGTGAATTCCTGCAAAGTTATGACAACATAAACAGAAGTTCCACTATCAATCCACCAAGAATTTAATGAGACATTAACAAAATTAGATTCAAAGCAAACAAAGGCTAATGAATTACTTTATTCTTTATTCTTCTTTTCCAACCAAAATTTGAATCGAGTGCACTCACTTTTCTTATGACAGCCTTAGGACCTCCAACATTCTAACCAATATCATGCCTTTTGAAAGCCCTACCATTCTTTGGAGCATTATGATTAGGTTTTCTATTATTTTCCTGATACACACCTTTGAAGCTAGATTTAGGCTAAGAAACAAACAAGACAGTTTCACTCTTTTTTTTTCTAATTTTTTTTTCTCAGAATCACACTTGGAGATAAGGTCATTTATTGTCCAAGACTCATTTTGGGTATTATAAGCAGTTTTAATTTGGCTAAACTCAGGAGACAAAAAATTGAGAGTGTGATGAACAATGAAATCATCAGGAACAACAATTTTAACGGCTTTGAGCTTGGTTTAAACATGAATCATTCTAAGGATATATTCCCTAACACCACCTACATTATCATATTTCATACTTGTTAATTCATTCATTAGGCTCCCAGTTTCAGTTTTGTTGGATACCTTGTATTTCTCTCCTACAACGGTGAAGAATTCCATGACATTCTTGATTTCAGGCAAGTCACTCATAAGGTGTTCAGAGATAAATCTTTTCATGGTAATCATACTCAGTCTATTAGATTTCTCTCACTTTGCATAAAAANGTCACTCATAAGGTGTTCAGAGATAAATCTTTTCATGGTAATCATACTCAGTCTATTAGATTTCTCTCACTTTGCATAAAAATTTTTTTATCAGGGGAATTCTCACTAGTAGGTTTAGCAGGTTCATTCTCTTTTAAGACAAAGTCTATATCAGTAATTCCCAAGACAAACTCAATATCTTGTTTTCATCTCTTATAATTAGAACCAGTTAAGACTTTAATGTTTGTATTATTACTATTCATAGCAAAAGAAACTGTACAAGGCCATGAGAAGATAAATAATTAGCAAAATTGGACAATAAATAAAATAAAATACACCAATAGGCTTTTGGTCAAATGATACTTATTGTCTTGTAAAGGTTTTATCTTCTTGAGGTCAAGAGTTCAAGTTCCCCTCCCCTCCCTTTCCCCCTCAAAAAGTAAAAATAAATAAAATAAAATAAAATATGCTTTGACTATAATAAGTCATATTTTATTAAGAGAGTCCAAATATATCGCTACAAACTCCCCTTTGGGCAGAGAATACAATATGTTATAGATCTCATTTTTCATGAAACTAACCAATGAGAATGCTTACGTTTTAAAAAATTTATCCCATTTGGACAGATAAATCTTCTAAACTATTGCATCTTTACCACAATGTTTCATGACATCTCTAAATTACAATACACAAAAATCTCATTTGGACAAATAATTATATATTATAATTTAGAGACAATCCCGTAACAAAAACATGAGAAAAACTATAAATTTCAATGAATAGACCACTTTAGTGGCAACCATCCATCTTAACTCATATAATTTTTCAAACCGGGATATTATAATAAATTACCCTTAATTAAATATCATGTGATCAATCAATATGAAGTACTAATCAATATGTATCTCTTTAGATTACCCATCATCAATCGTTGCATTCAAGTTTTAATTCTATTTTTACTATTAAAATTAAATAATTTAAATACAAATCTACTAACATTAATAAATAATCTGTAGATCATAAAAAAATTTCATCATATAAATCACTAGGGGTTAAAATTAGAATTGTATAAACAACCTCTATAAATTATAACAACTCAATCAAAATTACATAAGCATAAAAAAATAATTTGTATGAATCAACATGATACCAGGTTATTAACAAAAGTAAAGAGTATATATTAATCATAAATGTTTTATCATATATATATATATATATATATATATATACTAACCAGTAGCCATCAATTCTTGACTCTGACAAGAAAGCTTTAACCCATTTTTTGTTTTTTATTTTTTTTCTTATTCTTATTGTGGCAGCCAACGGTCAATGCTAATTCTCCGCCAAACATTACTTTGAAGTAAAAAAAAAGCAGTAACCTTGATCAAAGAATGAATTCTTTTGATTTTCAAATCATCGACAACGAAGAGATTTTGATGCCGGGCGGTCACCAAAAAAAAAAAAAAAAAATTTGAGATCCCAAATTATTCAAAATAAAATAATAATAATAAAATAAATTAGGTTCTAAATTCATATATGATAAACTCTGATACTACATGTAAGAAATTTTAATGATTCGTATATGAAATTTAGAACACCTAAATTATAAGGTTTAGAACATACCTATATGAGTCATGATACTCGATTTCAAGGGCAAAATCTTCCTCTCCATTTTCAAAGCAATAGACAACTCTTAATGGGACAAGTCAAATTAGGGTTGTAAAGTGAATAGGAGACTTAACCTGCTATTTATAATAAAATCTAATGAACTCTCCCATTACGAATTACAATTAGATTAAGATCTACACTTAACTGCGTCAACCACATCAATTAAAAGATATACATTAACACATCAAAATAAATCACTTAATACTATTGGGCTTATTTCATTAAATAATAAATTCATACCTTTTTTCACAAACTAAAATTAACAATCAATTAATGATAGTCAAATATAAGAAAAATTCCCACACGTCGATCTACACGTTTTAAAATTGAACTTCTTTTTAGGTCTGCTACCTTCAAACCCATGTTCGGGGGGGAAAATGGTGCATTTTTAGCAAGGATATAAAATGGGAAACAGAAAAGATAAATCTCATTTTTTGTATTTTAAATCTCATTTTTTTCTAAAAATTTGAGAACAAAAATACTAATCAAATAGGTTTTGGGTGTTTTTAAAATTTTGAGAACAAAAAACGATTTTTGAAAATAAAAGCTGCCCAAAATCTCTACCCTGTTTTNTGTTTTTAAAATTTTGAGAACAAAAAACGATTTTTGAAAATAAAAGCTGCCCAAAATCTCTACCCTGTTTTCCGTCGTATTCACATTATATTATGAATTAAGAATGTATTAGTTTAAGCCCTACAGCCAACCAGAGATGGAGTCATTCACCCGGATGATGATCCCAACGCAGCAACAGACCTTGAAAAGCCTCAAAAGCGTAAAACTCACTGCTCCCTATAGCTCTTAGAACTGTATTTGAATGCTTGCTTGCATTCGGTTGCTGATACTTTTTCTCCTGTACGTCTTGAAATACTTAAGCTTTGAGAGACTTGCACATTCAGTTACATATCTCTCTAAGCATTGCAATGAATAAAAATCAGTGGCCAGTGGTTTTGATTGGGCATGGGAGTGGGAATGAAAGTGAAAGAGAAAATGTTGAACCTCACACTCTTGACTCTCCTACGTATTTACGGTCATCTCTTTCTCTCTCTCCTCCAGGCTAGGATTGGACGAGAGTCATTTCATTTGCGGGGAGCGGAGCTGGAAAATCTTTGGAATATGTGGGTCGTTGCGATCAGTGCTATTGGTTGGCACTTCCATTCGGGGGACCCACACAAGCAAGCAATGAACAAATTTGGACTCGAACGTCTGCCGTTGGACGTGGTTAAAAATCTTGATCCTCTCAATTGTTTTTTTGAATTTTGATGTGGATTGATAATCAGCGATGGATCCCCACTACTCTACTGATGCCCCCACGTGTGTTTGTTTGCAAGCTCCTGGGCCTGGCACACATCACAAATTGGAGGCTCTTTGATGGCCTTCACCCTCCACCACCACTACTTGCGTAACACCACCAACACAGGGCTTACTCCGCTACTCTCATCTTCTTCCAGATTTTGCTGTGGCCTCTCGTACGTCCATCTCTCCCCCTCTCTCTTTCTTTCTCTCTCTCTCACACACACACACTAGTAATTGTAAGTTGTAACTAACTGTGAGACATTTGCTCGGTATGTTCCTAGTTTCTCTCAGTTGCTGATCATGGAGTAACAAGCTTTTTAAATATATTCTCCATCCANCACACACACACACACACTAGTAATTGTAAGTTGTAACTAACTGTGAGACATTTGCTCGGTATGTTCCTAATTTCTCTCAGTTGCTGATCATGGAGTAACAAGCTTTTTAAATATATTCTCCATCCATTCCTCCTAGTAAACCATTCCTCCTTTTTAATGGCGTCTCCCCTGCTATACTTCTTACTGACTTTTTGTGTTTTGGCTCTGATTGTGCTGAATAGTTCCTCTGATTTTCAAGGTTTTTATTTAAAAAATTTNCATTCCTCCTAGTAAACCATTCCTCCTTTTTAATGGCGTCTCCCCTGCTATACTTCTTACTGACTTTTTGTGTTTTGGCTCTGATTGTGCTGAATAGTTCCTCTGATTTTCAAGGTTTTTATTTAAAAAATTTTATTGCTGCTTCTGGTAATTATAGCCTCTCCCAGATCCCTTTTTACCAAAAAAAAGTTGTCAAAGTTAAAAACCTTCCGATTGCTCACCTTTTTTCTTACTTTTATGCTTGATTCTACTTTATTGTTTGATCAGTTGTACGGAATTGCTACAAAATACTTCAATCAATAAAAGAAACATGTGTGGTGATTGATCTGTGAAGTTATTTGACTCAGCATAGATTAATTAAACTGTTTTGTCTCTGTTACTCTTTATAATCTATTGACGAGCAAAATCTAATTCAAAACTGCTAGGATAAAGGATTCTTTTTCCTGACAATAAAGCCTCATGGATATGTCCGTTTATTTTGATGCATACCAGCTCTGCTTTGTTGCTGGTGTTGTCTCTCTTCTTGTTCTTGATGAAATTAATGTGAAGCATGTGGGATTTTTCCAATCTTGCTAATAGATTATCTGTACTTGTTTATAAGGTAGATCATATATCTCTTGGTAACTAATTGAAGCCAGCATGGATGGTGAATTCAGCTTTAAAAATATATATAGATACGCATACAACCCCTCCTCTTTTTCACATATATACATTTTAGTATTTCTAAATAATTCCATATACTTTTGGAGGAAGTTTTTGTTGCATCTGGCAATTGTAATTTGCAAAATTTTATTAAATTCCTTCGCTTATATCTTTTAGAACAAGGACAGTACCAATGTCTACCTTGGCTACTTCACACTTTGTACCAAGAAGCTCACATGTATCCAGTGGAGCAACTTTGAGATCAGAAAATAAAACAAACTTGGCACAAATAGGCCTAAGGAGCCAAACGGCAACTCACAATGGCTTGAGATCTTTAACAACTGTGGACATCCTACAACAGAAAGCCAATGGAAAAGTAACTGCCAGGCAAACCAGCAGAAAAGAGGCCAAAATTGGGAGTGACAAGCCTTCGGGAGCCATTATTTGTGCAAGCGGGATGAACTTGGTTTTTGTGGGAGTTGAGGTGGGCCCATGGAGCAAAACTGGTGGGCTAGGTGATGTTCTTGGTGGACTGCCACCTGCCATGGCGGTAAGCATAAGTCTCAGCTTTCCAAATTGAGATATGTTGAGTCATCTATCCAGCTCATCCTGTGTAACTAATCTCCATTTCTTCCATTATCTAGGCCAATGGGCATCGAGTTATGACAGTATCTCCACGCCATGATCAGTACAGAGATGCTTGGGACACTAGTGTGCTCGTTGAGGTAAATTTTTTCTCCAATTGTATGGTCTTGGTGATTTCCTCTTCTTTTTTTTTGTGGTTCAGCTAGTGCGTAGTGCTTGGGATTTTGTTCACTAAATTGGAGCTTTTCTGTTGCAGATAAGAGTTGGAGACAGAATCGAGACCGTTCGCTTCTTCCACTGCTATAAACGTGGAGTTGATCGTGTTTTTGTGGATCATCCAGTGTTCCTGGAGAAGGTTACTTTTTTCTGAATTTCAGTGCTTGGGTTTAGAAGCCAAAGTGTAATGTTTGAGGAATGTTTGTAGGACATGTAATGTTCGTCTTAATCGTTACTATAATGCTTGCTATTTGAACTTTTAAAGGTTTGGGGAAAAACGGGATCAAAGATCTATGGCCCTAAGGCAGGAGATGATTATCAGGACAACCAACTTCGATTTAGCTTGTTGTGCCTAGTAAGCTATTTTTTTAGTCTCTAATTTCTGTATGGTTTTAATTTGCTAAATGCACGCCTTCTGCGACAGATATATGTGTGCTCGCACGCGGATAGGTTTTGAAATCACTGCCTTTTATGGTACTCCTATGCTATATGTAGAGAAGCCAACTGTCAATTGGACCCACAAAATTGGTTTCCATGAAGTTGAATGATTGTTTGTTTATTCTGAAGCTAAAAACTGTTTTACACAAATATATATCTCTTATATAGCAGTCACAAATGGGAAACCATCCATAAATTGGCTTTTTTATTTCCTAAAGCTGCTCGGTTTTCTTAGTGTCTACTTACTTCATGCTTTCAGTTAACCATGGACACTGTTTTGCTGCGTTGCTAATATTCTCATGCGTTTATGTTACTTTTAGGCAGCTCTGGAGGCACCAAGAGTTTTGAATTTAAACAGCAGTAAACATTTCTCTGGACCATATGGTATTCATCTTTGTCTGAGAGTTCTGGACTTTTACTTGTAGTATCAAAAAATCACTTTACAAACTGTACCTAATTTTTCAAAATTTGGGCAGGTGAGGATGTCATCTTCATCGCCAATGATTGGCACACTGCTCTCATTCCATGCTACCTGAAAACTATGTACCAATCCAGGGGAATCTACAATACTGCCAAGGTAATATTTGCTGTATGGTGCGTTGTGGAGATCTTTGGACAAACGAAGGAGCATTTTTGGTATCTAAGGTTGTCCCTTATGAATGATTACAGGTCACTTTCTGCATCCACAACATTGCCTATCAGGGCAGATTTGCCTTTTCAGACTTTGCACTTCTGAATCTGCCTGATCAATTTAAGAGCTCTTTTGATTTTGTTGACTGGTAGGGCGATTGAATTCTTGGATTTTCATCTAAAGATATTTGTGGCCACTGATGTGATTTTCCAATTGTTATGAGTTGTGCCGACTGTTTCTGCTGCCGTGTTAAGTAAGTTTTTCGATGTTGCAGTTATGAAAAGCCTGTGAAGGGAAGGAAAATTAACTGGATGAAAGCTGGAATATTAGAATCAGATAGGGTATTGACCGTGAGCCCATATTATGCCCAGGAACTTGTTTCTGGTGTTGAGAAAGGTGTGGAATTGGATAATATCCTTCGTAAGACTGGCATAACTGGCATTGTGAATGGAATGGATATCCAGGAGTGGAATCCAGCAACGGATAAGTACATTGATGTCAACTATGACATCACAACCGTAAGAAACTCATGAATCCTTTTTTTCTTTTCTAATTATTCTTTCAAGTGGTTTCCTCTAGTTTCTGGGATTGAAATCTGTGCTAACCAGAACAATGACTTACAGGTTATGGATGCAAAGCCTATCTTGAAGGAAACACTTCAAGCAGAAGTTGGGTTGCCTGTGGACAGGAATATTCCTCTGATTGGCTTCATTGGTAGACTAGAAGAGCAGAAAGGTTCAGATATTCTTGTAGCTGCCATTCCGAAATTCATCAGTATGAATGTTCAGATAGTGATCCTGGTGAATATCAATTGAGAATGTCATTCCTCAACTTATTCTGGGTTCTGCTACCAAAATTGAAAAACTGAATTGTAACAATGATTTGTACTTTTCATTTCAGGGAACTGGTAAAAAACACTTTGAGAAGCAGATTGAACAACTTGAGGTATTGTACCCTGACAAGGCTAGAGGAGTAGCGAAGTTCAATGTTCCCTTGGCCCACAAGATTATTGCTGCGTCTGATTTCATGTTGATCCCAAGTAGATTTGAACCTTGCGGTCTCATTCAGTTACATGCTATGCGCTATGGAACGGTAAGTTCTCATACCTTCTTGTTTTCCTAGACTGGCTTCAGCTCTTATACCATGAGTTTTGCTTGATTAAACTCTAATTATTTGCTCTAAACTCGGCCTCCATTCTTCACATGAAAACTATTGGAACAGGTGTGCATCTGTCCCTTGACAGGTGGACTGGTTGACACTGTCAAAGAAGGTTATACAGGGTTCCATATGGATGCTTTCAATGTTGAAGTAAGCCTTTCACTGTCCCTGCACACGTTACACGAGTTTCCCACTTGTTTTTAACTTATTCAGGTATTCTTTGTTCAAAAACTAATACATTGTGCTCTTGCTATCAGTGTGACACTGTTGATCCAGCCGATGTAATTAAGATTGTGACGACTGTTGCGAGAGCCCTTGCAATCTACGGTAGCCTTGCCCTAAAAGAGATGATCATAAGTTGCATGAAGCAAGACTTTTCTTGGAAGGTAGGCATAAAATTGAACCCCCAATTCTGTTGTTTGCATAATTCTAAGTACTTCAATAAGAAAACCATGGAAAATAGAACTTGTCTAAAACATGTCTTCGAAAAATGTGTTTGTATGTCCTTTAGGGGCCTGCCAAGAAATGGGAATTGATGCTGCTGAGCTTGGGCGTTGATGGCAGTGAACCTGGAATTGACGGGGAGGAGATCGCTCCTCTTGCCAAGGAAAATGTTGCCACCCCATGAGGTCTATAATATTGTTGGCTTGAAGCGCTGGTCCATTTAAATAAAGTAACATGTCAAGTGAAGTAGCTATGAGCTATGNTTGCCAAGGAAAATGTTGCCACCCCATGAGGTCTATAATATTGTTGGCTTGAAGCGCTGGTCCATTTAAATAAAGTAACATGTCAAGTGAAGTAGCTATGAGCTATGTATTATCTCCCGAGCACTTATGGCCCTATCCTTGATCATTTACATATATGTGATCGGTGCTTGACACTTATTCCTGAGTGTTTATCTCTCGGGACAACTTATCTTAGGGTCTCTCGAGGATATTAGGTTGGTGCTATAGCCATTAATATTTTGTAATAATTACTGTTTGTGTGAGTTTCGAGGACACAAAAATTCATTAATTATTCTGTCACAGTCATTCAAATCTTCATTAATGAGCAATCATGTCCTCTTTAAGTTTAATCAGTTGTTCTCGGCTCTTCTGAGCTATTATTCTTTGGTGTCTTCCCTCGACGCTTTTTGAATTCCATAATATTTACATCTATCTACGTATCAGCTTGGAAACTATTAAACTGCCTAACGTACCGNTCTCTTGCCAAGGAAAATGTTGCCACCCCATGAGGTCTATAATATTGTTGGCTTGAAGCGCTGGTCCATTTAAATAAAGTAACATGTCAAGTGAAGTAGCTATGAGCTATGCATTATCTCCCGAGCACTTATGGCCCTATCCTTGATCATTTACATATACCTGATCGGTGCTTGACACCTATTCCTGAGTGTTTATCGCCCGGGATAACTTATCTTAGGTCTCTCGAGGATATTAAGTTGGTGCTATAGCTATTAATATTTTGTAATAATTACTATTTTTGTGAGTTTCGAGGACACAAAAACTCATTAATTATTCTGTCACAGTCACTCAAATCTTTATTAATGAGCAATCATGTCCTCTTTAAGTTTAATCAGTTGTTCTCGGCTCTTCTGAGCTATTATTCTTTGGTGTCTTCTCTCGACGCCTTTTGAATTCCATAATATTTACATCTATCTACGTATCAGCTTGGAAACTATTAAACTGCCTAACGTACCGTCAATTTGAACGGTGGGCATTGCATACAGGATTGCCGATGCAATGTGGGTTAAGGGAAAAAAAATGAATAAAAAGGAGGGGGTGAGGGGACATTGAAAAATGTACCAGCACACACAGGAGAAAAAGAGCATGGTACAGCAAAGGAAAAGCCTTCCAGCTCGGGAATGGTTAGCATGTGAAGTCTGTCCAAAAAACAGCTCCCATGCTAGTGTATTCACCAAGATGGTCGTTTAAACTTTGACATATTGGACCCCACGAGCCTGCAAAAGAATCAAAAGCATTTCAATGGATTCGGGAAAAAAAACGAAAAAAGAAAAAAGAAAAAAGAAAAAAGAAAAAGTATACCTTACTTCTGAGAGTGTAAGGTGTATACTAAACAGTAGTATATAGCCAATAGCTTTTAAAGCTCGGGCGGCCGACCATCTGATCCGTTGCCGTTGCCGTTGCCGTTGGTGCTCACTGACACGCCCATACATGTAGAGATTCAGAAGATCGAGAAACTAATGAATCCCACTTAGTCCAGGTATAGGCTGTCGCAGTGGCTGATTTAGCAAACTCTGCTACTAGTAAATAGGAGTAGTAGGCTAGTAGCTTCAAACTTAGCNTGGTGCTCACTGACACGCCCATACATGTAGAGATTCAGAAGATCGAGAAACTAATGATTCCCACTTAGTTCAGGTATAGGCTGTCGCAGTGGCTGATTTAGCAAACTCTGCTACTAGTAAATAGGAGTAGTAGGCTAGTAGCTTCAAAATTAGGCCACAACGGCCACACATTAATTTGTTGACAGCCTTTTATTTATTTATTTTATGAACTTGTTCTGTACCCACTGATCAGTACAACATTCCGTCGTCGTGTCTCCACCAAAGCAAGTGTTGGTCATCTCTATCTATCAATGGGATTCGCTACCACACTCAACTGTTCTTCAATACTCTTTCTCATCTCAGGTAGTGTTACTTCCTGTATACCGAGTCTTTCGTTTTCAATTTTTGTTAAAAACTTTATTTATCAAAAATTACTTACTAACTCTATACTCTACTGTGTTGGTGAAAATGTGCTTTAGGGATTGTTCTTCTATATCCAATCATGGTGGCTTCAATCGGAATCAACTATGGCCAGATCGCTAACAATCTTCCTGCACCGGAAAACGTTATCCCGTTGGTTAAATCTGTCGGCGCGACCAAATTAAAACTCTACGACGCAGATCCACGAGTTCTCAAGGCATTCGCCAACACCGGAGTCGAGTTCATAGTCGGACTCGGAAACGAATACTTGTCCAAAATGAGAGACCCAAACAAGGCTCTAGCCTGGGTAAAAACAAACGTCCAAGTTTATTTACCAGCCACAAAAATTATTTGTATTGCAGTCGGAAACGAAGTGTTAACCTTCAACGACACTTCACTCTCCGATGACCTCCTTCCCGCTATGCAAGGTGTACACACAGCTCTTGTCAATCTCAACCTCCACAAGCAAGTCAGTGTCACCACGGCACACTCCTTGGCCGTACTCCAGATCTCCTACCCCCCGTCCGCCGGAGCTTTCCGCACAGATCTCACCGCTTGTATAACTCAGATTTTGAATTTCCATGTCAAAACCGACTCTCCTTTTCTCATCAATGCCTACCCCTTCTTCGCATACAAGGCTAATCCCAAACAAGTCCCCATCGATTTCGTTCTATTTCAGTCCAACACGGGCATTGTGGATCCTATTTCGAACCTTCACTATGACAACATGTTGTTTGCTCAGATCGATGCGGTTTATTCTGCTCTTGCTTCGTTAGGGTTTAAGAAATTGTGTGTGCAGATCTCGGAGACAGGTTGGCCTTCGAAAGGAGACGAAGACGAGGCGGGGGCAACTCCGGAGAACGCAAAGAAGTACAATGGGAATCTGATGAAGTTGATTGCTCAGAATAAAGGTACGCCGATGAGGCCGACCTCGGATTTGAACATTTTTGTGTTTGCTCTGTTCAATGAAAATATGAAGCCTGGACCGGCCTCGGAGAGGAATTACGGACTGTTCAAGCCTGACGGAACGCCGGTCTATCCGCTTGGATTTTCAAACGACGTCGGTACTACTAATTCTAGCTCCGGTAGTTCGAATACAAGTGGCTTTGGTACACGGCCGCCGATGCCGTCCCCGCCGGCGAGCTCTTCCACGGGTTATCTGTCTATATCTTCTTCTGCGGTAAGATTCCTGTCACTTTTAATTCTGTGCTGAGTCAGATGTGCGCCGATTGTGATGTGCGCACCCCCTTGATGCATAGGTTAAGGGTGCGCATTCTAGTGGTTGAGTGTTGGGTTTAGAAATAGTAGGACACGTAGATACATGGGTACTGGTGTCCACTAAAGCAGCATGGTCTTAGATGTCCTGTCATTTAATGGGAAAGTGTGGTGGACGGATCAAAGATCGTTGGATTTTCTTGGGAAAACGATCCCAGGTTGGGTTTAGATTTGATTGACAACTGCGACGGACAGTATGTTTTGTTTCCGTAGTACATTGCTTTCTTTACTTCTTTGGGAGAAAACGCCGTCGTCTCTAGTTGGTTCAATTCTAGTGGATGGTGTTTTCCATTTGTACTAGGATGTGAGTGAAACAATGATGATTAAGAAATCCTTTGATTAAAAAAAAAAAGAGATATTCTTGCATATTTAGAACTACAATTTAGTGCATCAAAATTAGATTAAGCATGTGGTTTCCTTTAGTAATGGTTGTAACGGATCATGCCTTTTTTATTTTTATTATTATGTGTCTAAAAGTTGTCAAGAATACTTATCCTCCTCTCCCCTCTTTTAGAGTTAGTTTATGATTAGAGATAGGGGGAGAAAACGTTTTGTCATTTTGGCGTTTTTACAGTCAATGAATGTTGTTGGAAATTTTTTTTTTTTTTTTTGCGGGGGTAGGGGGTGCTTGTTTAAGCCCTTCTGTATTTCATATCCTTGCCGTTGAAATTTACTAATTTAGTCACATATCTACCATGTGATTTATGGACCAAATTGCACAAGTACAATTGCTGTCCAACTCTGATAGGGTAGTTGAGTCGCACGTTTGTTTGTAGAATTCGTATGTAGGAAGACATTGTCAAAAACTACCAAAACCCTTATAATTTTTAAAAAAATATAAAAATGCCCTCCTTCTTCTTCTTCTTCTTTCATATCTTTATCTTGTCATAGAAAATATTGCAATGTTCTGAATCCCAAGGTGAGTTTTCATCAGTCACCAACTTCTCTAAAAACCAACCAATTAAAGTTTTTCACTGGTTTCTGATTCAAATCTGAATGGTGTTTATCATCTGAAATAAACCATACCTCTGTAGTTTTCTGAATCATCATTTAGGTTTTATTTCTTTATTTCTCCTTTTGTTTTTGATCTCTTTGAATTTCTCAGTGTTTGTTTGGGCCGGCAATCTAAGAATTCCTGAAATCCTCCCCATTTTCTCTGCCCACTTTTTTTTTTTTTTTTAAAAATTTTTTTTTTGGTGGGGAAGGGAGAGGGGGGAAGGGTCTTGAACCTTTGACCTTTGACCTCAACAAGGCAAAGCCTTTACAAGACAAGGAGTAACATTAGACTAAAGGTTCACTGGTTGATCACGGCCCACTTACACTCTCCATTCGGCTTGTGAATTACCTACATTCCCTTCAACAATCCCTTTGCTTCATCTTTACCTCGTCGCCTCCAAATCCAATTTTAGGGTATAAATTTTAGTTTATTCTCATATTAAGATGAAACATGTCCAATTTTTTTCTCCTATTATAGGAGGTAAAGAAGACATGTATTGAGATGAATAAAGGATTACATGATTTTCTTTTTATAAAATTACAGATATAACATGTCTTTGGAAGGTGACACTGGACTTCTCTTGTGAAAACTTGGTCTAATCTTGGTGTTTGTTCTTATTCCAGTACAATATAGGTTGTAATTATTTGCACTTTTGCTTCTGTTTGACAGGTAAGTCATGAGAGTTTCAAATGTCATAGTGCTTCTATTTTTGGGGAAGTTCAATTTCTCTATTGTTGTGGAGAGGATAGTTTTTGTTTTCTGTTTCCTATTTGTGCGGTAACGCTTCTTTCTTTGATAGTGCTGCTCTGGTGATTATAGATAGGTGTACTCAGCAAGGTGTCCTGGTTGTTAACCATTAAACTTACTGGCTTAAGATGATCACGACTGCATCTTGGTTTTAATTTCTGCGTGCTAATAATTCTAGTTGTTTATGTGACTGATGTTTTCTTAATTTCAGGAAGAAGTAGCAGTACACAGCGTGTTGCTCTTTCTGTGCTTGGTAGTTTCGACTGCGAACTGATCTTCGAAAGTTGATTCCATTTAGAACTTAAGAGGGCCTTCAATGTATGATAGGATAGGGGGAGATCGAATAACATGGTGCTCCGGAGATGGGAAAAGGCTCAGATTTTGCTTTTACGTGTACGCATCTGTGTTCTTTGGAATCATCATCTTTTTTGTATACCATCACTATATCGAGAAAAGTTCATCTACAGGAAATTTAATATAGAGGAGGGGGTCCCACTCATAGTAAAATGACAGAGATGCATTGAATTTCACCTCTTTTAGGCTGGCACTGATGTGTTGTCTTGCTTTATTCACTTTATTATTTTTGGGATTGGCCTGGAGCTTTAGTTTCTGAAACCTTTTTTTTTTAATATATATAAATATATATATTTATCGTAGGCTGTTAACGTGTGCCAGTAGAGAGAGGCAGGTCGATTTAGTTATTACTCATTGGTACTCTAATGATGATGTTTATCATTTGATTTTATAACATCCCATGGTAACCCTGAATGAGAGTCGCTATTAATAGTTCCTTTGGGTCTGCATGCATTCATTTTCGTTGTTATGTGTTGGAGCAGAGATGAAAACATGAGCTCCAATTTATAATGCAACGGAAAGGGTCGACCCTCCCGTTCAAAGGACCCCCACCTCCAGCCAACCGGGGGATTGGCGTTCCATAAATATGGTAACAGAAGTTCAATCTGGGCAGGTTTTCATATTTGGATTAAAGGAGAAATAGTGGGAATTGAAGCTTGCCCTTAACGTCCCAATGTAAGAAGACCAAGTAAAAAGAGGGGGGGAAGACAAAGATACCTTCGGGCCAAATAGCAGAGTTAAGCATCATGCCTGTAGATCCCTAGATGTTCCAAAAAGGGTACGACCTCAAATTACTTCCATGCTGCATTCAAGGATGGTTGTGACCATACGTAAGGGCAGGAGAAACCTAACAGAATGGAAGTATACTTTATTTCACAGACAGACCAAATACATACCAAAGGGAACAGCGAAACAATTCCCCCAATGAATAAAACTTGTGTGAAGGATNGTAAGGGCAGGAGAAACCTAACAGAATGGAAGTATACTTTATTTCACAGACAGACCACACATACCAAAGGGAACAGCGAAACAATTCCCCCAATGAATAAAATTTGTGAAGGAANCAGACAGACCAAATACATACCAAAGGGAACAGCGAAACAATTCCCCCAATGAATAAAACTTGTGTGAAGGATAATTCCAATTCGTCAAGGACTACACATAAAAAGCATTCGATACCTCGAGACCATTCAAATCTTCTCTCAAAAAATAGTTGCACTTCCGTAAAATACATGCTACTCCCCCTCTAGGCATTTCTTGTAGAGACTTCATCCCCCAATTAATGAAACAAACCCGGGGGTTCTATTTTACCCCAATGCCATCCACTTTTCTGTCTTCAAACGAAATCTCACCATGTCACGCTACAATGAACAATACCCAGCCATTCTCTTCCATGTTCTGTCACCAAATTTTTTTTCAAAGAGTAAGGAAAGTTGTGAACAATATGAAATCCACAAGGGAAAAGTTAATGACCATACACAGCCTTCAAGCAGTCCCATGGTCTTGGGACAACTCTCCCACTGCTCCATTTGGTTGACAGTTAACTCTTCGGTAGAACAACACATAAGCAGCTGATGTCTCAATCTCAGCTTCACTAACCGGTGAAACATGGGCATCATCAAAATGATACCATCTATTGTCGTCAATTAACTGCAAAATTGGAGTAAAATATTGAATTTCTTAATTGAGACAAGTGCTATCAAAACCTATAACATAGTGGCAATATTTAGATTAACTAAAGATGGGTTCTTAGGCTAGTTTTCTGTCCAAATGTATTGACGGGCAAGAAGTAATAGGTCCCTCAAGGAGTACCTCGGATCAGACAACAGAAATAGAAATGAATATGAGTGGTGTTTTTACCTTGGCATAAGCAGAGTAGTGCCCACCACCTAGGCTACTGTAATGGTTGCTAATGGCATATAGTTCATAAATATTAGATCCAGTGCAAGTATCCTTGCTTCTAACATATTTGCTCAAATCAAGATTGTGAATGGGAAAATTTACAAAGGTATCGAGTTTGTTCTTTAGCCATCGGCTGTATGAGAACCGTTTCAAGTGGAAGACAAGTATCTCTGGCAACCTCCACAAGTCTAGCTTCTTGGTAGCTTGTCTGTGTTCCTTACAACGAGGACAATACCTGCAACCAAATTTAAGAAGTAAGAAGAAATGGCAACTACTGCAAAACATGAACCATATACTAAATTTCTACAGTATCAAGCTGTCAAATATTTTACCACATATCCTCAGGCCCTAAGGGTTCCTCCTTTAAGAATGCATCCAAGCATGAAAACAAAGAGATAGCTTCCTGTCGGGTTTTCTTCTCAGTCAGCTCCGTCTTCCGAACCTCAGGAAAATCCTTGAGGTAGCTGGCATCATAAAACTCATGTTCCTTGTCAGTCCACTCCAGCATAACCTTCACCAGTCTACTAGATTTTATGGGTAAATCTTTTACAATTGGTCTGCTACCTAAAACCCTATCATCTGCAATAAAAAGCCGAAATGACAACTCCCTACAGGAAATTTCTGCCTGTTCTGTAATATGCTTTGATTGGCTCCCAGGTTCTAACTGGGTACTGCAGCAGTACATTGATTCCTCATCAGCTTCTGAAGCAGAGCAAATTTCCATGCTACTATTGTTTTTAGTCAACGGGAGAAATGCTTTCCTTCTGAATGGAGAAAGCATTCTACTAACAGCAAGATCAATATCAGCCCCAGTTTGTGGGTTTTCCAAATAAGTAACAAGGGGTGTTAAGAAAAGCTTCCTCTCACTGACCTTCGAACTGTCTGACATATATCTGGAGATAAAGTGCACCTTGATTATGAAACATCTCATGAAGACACGAAAAAAAAAGGAATCATTTAAGCAAGGCATCTATATAGTTAGTCCTATTCGCCTACCCACACGGAAAAGAAGCCAAGCGCAAACTCGTGCACAAAAAATTAAGTGTTGAAACTTGTGTGGCAAAACAAAATTGACAGATTGTTCTTTCATAACTATGATATCACAGTGAAATATAGAGCAACTGCATGCATGCATGACCAAAAATCGCCCTCACAAGTATCAAATACCACCACATGCTTCCTAGTTTCCAAAAAATCTAAGTCGTACGCCCAATCCCCCCCCCCCCAACCCCGACAAAAGTAGAGCTAATTATAATGGTCAAGCTACAGCCACCAGCCTATGCATAATGCAGAGGTAAACATATAAATGGATACGACCATTCTCACAGATGCCGCCCAATGATGACAATATTGTAAAATTGATGTTTCGTTCATACAGATAATGATGTCAAAACTCAACCCAAATCTGAGTGGTATAGAATTTCCATCCATCTCCATTTAGAAAATAAAGGGAAAAACAAACTCTCGTGTATTTGTCCAACAACTGCCAAATATGTGTCCCTTCCTGGGCACATTGTTCTATTAGCTCAAGCTCGCATCATAAGGCATTGAAAAAAACAAATAGCTGCTGGGGCCAACAAAATAAAATTTCAAAATTTCGCAACTTTACCAAGTAGAAACCTACTAGCAATACTCACTTTTTCTGGTATCGGTGACAAATCTCTAGTCTAGTTAATTCACTCCCTTTTTATGGGAAGTCGATATGCAACAATATGATCATCATCTTTTATCAATATGCAAAATTTCATGAATAAATACTCACTTTTCCTGATATCGGTGACAAATCTCTAGTCTAGTTAATTCTGTCCCTTTTTTGGGAAGTCGGTATGCAACAATATGATCATCATCTTTTATCGAGTTGAGTGGCTCCAAAGGAGTGTCCAAGTATCGAAATATTTTATGTTCATAAACCTGGAGACCAAATATCCACTGCTTTAGAAAACTGGATCATAAGAATGCATAAGCCAAAAAAGTTCGAGTATGCAATGAGAAACAAAAGAACATACATAATTTTACCTCTGCAAGTAGCAGGCTTTCATCGCTCCTTAAGCAGCATCCAATACCCAATGCCTGGCTGAGATCCCTAGAGCAACCGTTTTTCAGGACAGTAACAGTATATGGCATTGGAAGGTGACTCCCATCACCATAAAACAAAGTTACTGTCATGGTTCGAGTGACTGTCGAAGGAAGTGGCAGTGACAAGTACATGAAGGGGTCGAATGTTATTGAGATTTTGTTACAAACAGGGCAAACCAGTGTTGACTTATATTGACCCTGAGATTTGTCCATAAAATTAAAACTATTACTACTATTACAAAACCCAGGAAAAAAGTATTAATGTTCACTAAACAACTAATTTTACCTAGCAAACACTAGAACAGAATATCCAAACACCCAAATTCTACAAACTCGAGGGGTAAAAATTTGCAACTTTTTGTCCAGCATCCCTTCAAAGTAAACAAAAATAAAGAATTCAAACATTTATCTTTTGATTGATTGCAACCACAATTTAACCCCAACCCAATGCCAAGACTTTTGGCACCATGTTGCAATATCATAGGCATAAACATTTCAAACATATATACCATACAATTTCCAAGAGTATTGATAAAAGAAGCAGATCAATAGAAACCACAGATTGCAAAAGATATAAACAGACTTGAATCACCACCAGAGCAGCCAGNTTATCTTTTGATTGATTGCAACCACAATTTAACCCCAACCCAATGCCAAGACTTTTGACACCATGTTGCAATATCATAGGCATAAACATTTCAAACATATATACCATACAATTTCCAAGAGTATCGATAAAAGAAGCAGATCAATAGAAACCACAGATTGCAAAAGATATAAACAGACTTGAATCACCACCAGAGCAGCCAGCAAAAAGAAACTGATAATTCCCACAACAAAAAAAACATCACCCACCCCAACACGGGGAAGGTCAGAGATCACTATACATGCAAATATCAGTATCTCAAGCCATAATACTACTCTTACAGCAATAGGAGAAAGGAAAAATGACTGTCAGTAAGGTAGTGATAAGCTGGCATTGTCTGCAGCAATTTTCAAGAACTTTCATTTGCAACGTATCTGTATCTATAAACAAGTTGTTCACCTGACAAACATCCACNACATGCAAATATCAGTATCTCAAGCCATAATACTACTCTTACAGCAATAGGAGAAAGAAAAAATGACTGTCAGTAAGGTAGTGACAAGCTGGCATTGTCTGCAGTAATTTTCAAGAACTTTCATATGCAACGTATCTGTATCTAAAAACAAGTTGTTCACCTGACAAACATCCACAATAACAGAGTCATTTCGGGCTTGGTGATTTCTCCAACACTCATCTGCCATTTCCTCATCAGGGCGACCATCATGATCTTTTGTCTCAATGTAAGGCTTTTGCTTAACATGATTCAAATCTTCATGCAATCCATCCAGCAAGAAGGCAAGAAGTTCCTAGAGAAAAAATGAAATTATTTTGTTTGAAGAATATACTTTTGATATGGCAAAAAATTGAACAAGTGAGTTCAAGATTGGCAGCCTGGCATAGAGAAGTAGTCAACAACTAAACAACAAATAATAACAGTTAATCACCAAGATAGAATTTTGCAAGTCCCACTCCCACATATGTACAAATGTTAGATCTTATATCAGAAATACATTTTTATGAATATAGACAAAACCCTGCGAAAACTCCTTTAACATTGATAGAGAACCAAGTTTACCAATCACATCAAAATGCAGAGTGGTAAAATATATTTTACACTGCTTAAGTTATGAATTGCGAAGTCATAGCATAACTCAAACAAATTTCTACAAGCAAAGCTCATAACTAAGAAATGCGACAAAATATCCAAAGACCAATATTGTGAGAGCATAGAAGNAGAAAAAATGAAATTATTTTGTTTGAAGAATATATTTTTGATATGGCAAAAAATTGAACAAGTGAGTTCAAGATTGGCAGCCTGGCATAGAGAAGTAGTCAACAACTAAACAACAAATAATAACAGTTAATCACCAAGATAGAATTTTGCAAGTCCCACTCCCACATATGTACAAATGTTAGATCTTATATCAGAAATACATTTTTATGAATATAGACAAAACCCTGCGAAAACTCCTTTAACATTGATAGAGAACCAAGTTTACCAATCACATCAAAATGCAGAGTGGTAAAATATATTTTACACTGCTTAAGTTACGAATTGCGAAGTCATAGCATAACTGAAACAAATTTCTACAAGCAAAGCTCATAACTAAGAAATGCGACAAAATATCCAAAGACCAATATTGTGAGAGCATAGAAACAAAGGGTCATAATTGTTTTGACATTTCAGATCCTCAGTGACATTAAGAGGTTGTGAAAGCCTAGTTCAACCAACGAACATGTTCACATTTATGAGGTCATAGAAGCATCACCAATTCATTTGGCTGCATGTCTATGATATATGAAGCTGTAACAATGCTGCTCATATTCCACAAGGTGCTCAATCTCTTAAACAATGTACAGCTGTTACACTGTCATGCACAAGTCAAGCCTAATACAAACAACATATCCTTGACAAGATCCACACTAACGTAGGGCTCCATTATCAAAGCTCAAGTGACTCCTAATGAGCTCACCACAAAACCAGATGCCTAACAGTAAAGACCCAACGACCACAAAAAAAAAATTCACNAGCTCACCACAAAACCAGATGCCTAACAGTAAAGACCCAACGACCACAAAAAAAAAAAATTCATGGTTAGTCTTGTGGCAAGCGCATAAGCACACTGTCATGGCTAAATATAGACACCTGTTTAAACTCCCTCTCTCACTCCCACCTTCCCTTTATTTCATTACCCAGACACACAACTTCGTTGCTTTCACCCCACAGTCATCATCAAAATTTGAATTTACCTCATACATTCCAAAATAGTCCTACAAGGCAACAATCCAAACAAATATAGCTCCATCCCTTTAAAAAACTGGCAAAAATGGAACTTCACGTAAAACCCACCGCTAAAACAGAATCAGAAATAAATATACAACATACAACAAGCAATTGTGCACGGTAATCACTACCATAACGATTTTGGGACATAGAAAAGTCAGATAAACATAGCAAAATGTTTTCCGAAGAGAAAGATTTCAAAATAAAGGACAACATTCATACAATGGATGGATTGTGTGGCAATTAGGCTCTCTATAAATCCTTCAGTTGTTTATTACTTTCTTTTCAATAAATTATCAAAGTACAAGATTTGCAGCAGTGACACCCTACTAGAAAAAAAACATGGGTGGTTTTGAATAGAAAGGAAGCCAAATACGAAATTTTGTGATATTGACCTGTGAATCATGCTGATTATACCCACTAAATTGGGGGGCAAATCGCGCAAGTTTTCCCTTAAATGCACGAGGTGCAACAGCCGTTTGCCCAGAGGACCAAAGTTTCCTCAGCAACTCACCAAATGCCAGTGCAAGCTCACCCTGCACAACTACAACATATATTAAAAACTTAATGCAAAGAGCTTCATGACTAGAGCTCTTTTGTTATGAATAAGGATTAAAACAGCCACATACATGCATTCCTAAAGCATTTTGCCAGTTGATCTCATTAGTGTAATCCTGCAAGAAGTATTCAACCAGTGGCTGGGTATGAACTAAACACTGAATAGCACTATTCATGAAACAAGTATTTCCTAGATTCTGCAAACCTCCCAAACCTCCCCTATCTCCTTTAGCTACAGGCTTCAAAACGTCATATCCATCCTCCAAATCTGTGAATGCTGAACTTATAGTACTTCCCTGGTACAAACTGGAACTATAAGCTGTTGAATAACCATTGGACAAAACCGGGCCCCCAGAAATTGAAACAGAGGATCTTAAGGGTTCTACTGGAACCAGGGCCAACTCATTTCCTGTTGATTCCAAGCCAAATCCAGTGACTTGCATCTCCAGAAGAATCTGCAGCCATAGCATGGCATCAAAAGTTGAGTACATTTACTAAGCAAAACTAGTTAAGATGCACTGTTAAGATGTGTATGACATTAAGAAGAAAAATTAAAATACAAAGACCTTTTTCATTGGTTTTGGGTTATATGCTTTTGTTATTCTTGAGCCAACATGAAAGAAAAGTTGAATTATTCAAGAAGTCAAGAACCTAATGCTATGTTCTTTTTCAAATTCCATACTCATTATCGAGGCTGGCAAAGAGTTGTGACAGACTGGTAGGAGCCCTTAGAACAATAAAATTTACTGTAACAGGTTACTGGTGGTAACATTTGATGTAGACGTGAAAAGGTAGGTCTGTGGCGAAAACCCCGGCCTGGTCGTCACACACTATTTATGATTTATTTATACCTCCTATTTTTGGTTTGAACAATCCATCTATGAATTTCCAAAGATTAGTCAATGATCAGTGAATTTCAAAAATTTGTGTTTTTGTATCAAATTCAAAAAATGTATTCCCATTCAGGATAGTATATGCCAATGCAGTGCAACCTAATTCCGCCTGTTATTCATCCCAGGTATTAGAGAAGGGAGCTAGGCACACAGATCCCCAACTAGTACAGTTAAAATCCTTGACCGTAGGAGCAACCGCACTTATCAACCAAAAATATCAGCTCCCTTGGGTGGCTTTGAACCATAGAAGATTTCACCCCTTGTTCTCCCTTTTACTTCTTGATTCTCGCTGGATTATTAGGCCACCGGTTTATTTCTATATCTTGCACCAACCCCCGATGTACCATATCAAGGCACTTAACAGCACGTTATTTTAGTAAAGATAAATTGATCGTACCAATAAGTACAGTATAAAACTTCTTTTCCACATTTGAACCATGTCCACAATGTATATGTTATCTGAAATACTCACATCTTGGTCCATCTGCAAACTAGATTCCTCCAAGGTTTGGTTTGAATCAACTAACACTGCATGTTTCTGTTTATTGAAATAATCCCAGATTTGTGCCTGTTGGAATTTTAAAGGGAAAAAGAGAAAGAAAAAATTCCTTCAGGATAATATCTTTAATGGAAAAAATCTGAAGAACATTTTGCACAGACAAGAATTAGGTAACACACCTCCTCTGGCTGTATTCCTTTAAGTGCACACACCTTCTCATAAAGCTCATGTAAAGAAGCCTAAAATGGATTGACTTGGTAAGAAAATGCATGATACATAATAAGAAAGAAAAAAAAAATTCCATTTACAAGGAAATCAGGCAAAGGAAAAGAGAGAATAAGAAAAAATGAAAGAATTGTCTTTTAATAATTAACCCCCTTCCCAATATTATTACAAGGAATGGATCTTTACCAAAGTCAAATAAAGAAAGCAACTACAAAATAATACCAGCTAGTACTCATTATTCCATCCAAGAAACTTTAAGTTCAATGTGTTCACATCCTTTTTACATTTGTTAAGACTTGTAAGTAGAGTCCAGCCAAATAAAAAGGAGATGAAATATGTACATCAAGTTGACAAGGAAATATCTAGAGGCCTCGCTGATTTTACCAATCCGAACAGAGAAACAAATCAACTTCATCAACTGAAGTTGGTTCATTTTCATGTTTCCCTCTTTTTGTGAATAGGTGAACCAATACATTCCAGTGAATGCATGCACGGCAACAGCACACACATGAAAAAAAAGGCAATATTATGTCACTGTTCCAGCTAACTTCTACTCTTAGCACACCATGTCCAAATGTTACTAAAATAAGATGTATATTGTTAACAACAGGGTCCTTGATGAGTAAACTCACAGAAGGTCAACATTACATTATATCTGCAAAGACAATTTGTATAAAGAAGCGCTCATCGAATCTATATTTCATGATTAATTAGAAAACAAGGAAACATAAAACATTGTGTTGGCGTACATGTTCTGCTGATTTCAATTCCAGAGAAACCAATGCCTTGAATACAAAAGCAAAGGGATGTGTATTACTGGCTGTAAGATTAGAAATTAGCCCCACTATTAGTTTATCCTTGATTGGATATATAATACACATAATAGTAGAATCTACAAGGGAATTAACAGAGGACATAGAGTAGATAATACCTTTTTACTTAACCTTATAACTGACTGGCTTTTGTCCTTGGAATCAATTATCTTAAGACATAGAGGGAAAACCTCTACACTAAAACTGTTGTTAACACCCAATGAAATCATCTTCCTAGGTAATGTCGGTCCTCCTTTGTACCTATGCATATAAGAAATACAAAGGGATGATAAACATACAAAAACAAGGGCATAACAAAGTCACGCTAAAACTTGAGAGCCATATTGCCCAAATGAATTTGCACAAAACAAGAAATTTAGAAACGAATAAAAATCAAGGTGTATACCAGTAATATGATTGGAAATTATGATGTAGTATTTGCCAGTGTGTTAACAAAGTCATATCTGCTTCTAAAAGCAGAGTGTGTAGTTATTTTATGATACGTAATTCGCCAACAGAATTGATATTTATCATGATAATATTAATAACCCAATGCTACATCAATTTTCACGATGAAAAGAATAAAGAGGAGAGGGAGAGGGAGAGGGAGAGGGGGAGGGGGAGGGGGAGAGAGAGAGAGAGTTTCAACTCACAATAATGACAAGGACTTATAAGGAGGCCATATGACCTGCTCTTTTGTTGTTTTATCTTACTCACATATTGCAGAGTGCAGACAATAATGTTCACACNCCTTATCAAATACATATCGAATATGGATACGCATCTGTATCGGATATGGATACGCATCCGATACGACAGGATACATATCAAATGTTTTTGATACGTATCCTACAATTAAAATAATTAATTTTTGTATTCAAATACTTCTGGGATACTCCTGGATACACAAGGATACGGTTGGGATATGTTGACGGATACAATGGGTCTTATTTATAATTTATGATTTTTAAGTCAAGGGCACCAGGGTAAATAAAGAAAGTGTGTTTTTAAATCAAAAACTGTCGAGGGACTTATTTGCAAATATTATGAAAAAGTAATATAAACGGTCCATCCAAATTAAAGAATCAAAACGTCTACCCCTCTTAACTTTTTCGCTTCTGTCCTCCTCTGCCCGTGTTTATCTACTGTTAGGGCACACAATTCTCCTCTCTTCTCTCCCTCTCTGAGTCCCGCTCTCTCCTATGCCCACCAAGCTAGGGTTTATATATACCCATATCACCATGTGTCCGTTCCTTTTGTGATTAAGGTTTCTGTACCAACAACATGGTGGACAAGGTGCACTGCGATTAGTACTTATAAACACACACATTGGTCCTTTGACTCATGACTGGAGCACTACTCATACACCATCAGATTTTATTTTTCATTTGTCTGTCTCAGCACGCATCATTGGAATTGGGTTTTAGATTCTCAAGTACTCTATTTGACTTGATTAACTAAACAAATGTGTAGTGAATTTCTCCAGTGGTCTAAGCCAATGAATTGCACTATGGTTGATTTTGTTGTTATTGCCACTGATTTGTTGTTTTGTTCGATTTTATTTGATACGGTTGTTTGTGATGTTCTTCTTGTTACTTTTATTATTCTGTTGATTTGCTATTATTGTTAATGTTTGCCTTTTCCATGATAGAGCTATTACTTTATTGTGACCAAGTTTTTTGTTATATATTTCCAATAGAAGTGTCTGACTTGTGACTTTATAATTATAAGTGAAAATTGAATAATAAAAACTAAAAAAAATTATTATAGATGTATCCTATCCGTACCGGTATTCTATTCTTTTTAGGTTTTGCCATATCCGTATCAATGGTTCATAATTTTATATACATTGGATTTTATGTGAGCATTTGGGATGGATAAAAATCTATTAGATTACACATAATGCAAATACACCATATGTATGTCACTATCAACTCAAACCTGGTTATAGACCAACAAATCATGAGATTACATATTGAACTGGATGATCCACTTATGGCATAATAGAACAGAGCTAGAACCTAAGCTCGGATGCTTCAAATGAAGATAGTTTTTTCGCCTATAGATGATAATGGAACCTGTAAGAGTGGCTTAAGTTCCCAAAAGTATATCAACGGTCCTGGCATTACATATAGTGCATATATAAATAAAGATACATACATATACATGTATATATTGAATTAAAATGCGTGAACAAGTAAACAAAAGGAACCTGCATAATCAACTGCTGTATAGCGAAGATTACCTGTTGGAAAGGACATAGTACAAGTTGCCTTGTTTCAAATTAGACTCCGCTTTTTTGGTTAACTCAGTTACGATCCGCTTCTCTTCCTCCGGCGTGCATGGTAATTCAATTGATCCATTCTCCATTAAATAGACCGGATCAGGTATCGTCATGGTGGATACAAATATATAGCATCAGGCAAAGATCTGAAACGAGGTATGTCTGGAAATCGCTGGTCAAATCATCCAGAGATTGAAACACAAGTTCCAAAGCATAAATCAAATTGAAAATTGAATGAAATAGAAAGTAGCTTTTGGTCACAGTGATTATTATTCTGTCTGCATTTTTGCTAAAAATTAGACTTACCGTAAATCAGGAGAAGCGAATGCGAAGAGGCAAAACGAAAGAGTGTTGAAGAGAATGTATGTAAAATAATTTGGGAAGACGAAGAGAGAGAGAGAGTGTGTGTGTGTGTGTGTGTTTGTGTGTGGATTGGACAATGTAAGATTTTGGGATGAGGAACCCTAGATTGCAGGACGACTTGATTTGGTTTGGTTTTGATGCCACGCCATGGGCACAGGAGATGATGATACCAGTCAACCAACGAAATGTTTTACCGTCTTTTTTTACGGGCCGTCTTTTTGAGAATCAGTGCTAAGTAGTAATGCTATTAATATTTACTATTATTAATATATTTATATAATTTTTAAAGAGTAAACTTAATAACCTCGATTATTGAAGAGGTAATGAATTTCAATAAATATTGGGATCCACAGTGAAATCAATGATTCTAATTATCAAGTCTATTTTTTAAGTCCATGTAGCATTGCTCATTTTTAAATTATTATTTCGCAAATTATAATGTCCTCATTAAACATATAGGATAGGATTAATCCTCACCGTTGAATTTTTCTCTTGTGGAAGGATGATTTAGAATTTGTTCCGTGTAAGGAGTAAAAATTTGGTCAAAGAATTAATTTTTTTTTCTTAATAAGATTAAAATGGATATATTGTTAATAAGTTATCAAGTTATTATACAACTTAAAAATCAATGAGAAATCTAACTAAAATTCTAATTAGAAAAATAAATGTGAATTATTGTATTAATTTGATTGTATAGTAAGTTTTCCAATTAGCAAAGATTGATAATGAGAGCTGTCCCTCAGGACTAGAATGTTTAATTTCGTATCTCTTTTTTCTTTAACACACTTTTTGCAATCACGACTAATTGCGTACAAATTCCTGCTAATTACAATAATTGACCTAATAGTTTATACTCGATTAATCAATTTTATACATTTTCAAGGTGCAAGTTGGACAGGGTTTGAATGGGGGAAACATACATGACTGAAGAATAGACACTTGTACTAATAAGTGAGATTCGGATATTCCATGGACTCTTCATCCACAGCCACAAGAATAAGGGTNTTAAAGAAAAAAAAACAACAATCTTCAACGCAAAATGCATTGAAGAGACCAGTCATACAATCAGCACACTGAACCAATATGACCTCTTGATAATTGAAAGATGGTCTTAGATGATTACAGATCACATGGAAAAAATAACACACAAGGAACCACATGATAACTGAAGGAGCATAAAAGTAAAAAACATTTTCAGTGCTAGGCATTAACTCTACATTTCGCCAAAATAACTACTGATAGAAAGAGGAAAAGTCATAGTTTGAAACCAAAAAATAATGTATATTTAGCTCTATCCTACATTTACACTCCTCAATCTTTATTATTTCTCAAATGTTCACATCTGTTTAGTCTCCTGTTTTCTTCTCTGATTTCTCATTTTTGGCTAGTGAGATCTCCACTTATATTTTTTCCCTCTCAATTTTAGTCAGAACATCAAAACCCAGTCCACATTGTGTCAAAAGGGGTCGCAGCCCTCGAATATTTTTTAGTGGATGTTGTCAATTCAACAAAAGGACAAGAATACGAATTATATATATATATATATATTTATATATGTATGTAGATAGATTGAGAGAGAGACAGAGAGAGACTAGAGGGTCTTCTCCGCTCTTCTAACATATATACCACTCGTCACAAGAAATAAGAAAAATGAACTAGTTCATAAATACAAGAATTGAGCTTGTGACANAAAAATAAATGTGAATTATTGTATTAATTTGATTGTATAGTAAGTTTTCCAATTAGCAAAGATTGATAATGAGAGCTGTCCCTCAGGACTAGAATGTTTAATTTCGTATCTCTTTTTTCTTTAACACACTTTTTGCAATCACGACTAATTGCGTACAAATTCCTGCTAATTACAATAATTGACCTAATAGTTTATACTCGATTAATCAATTTTATACATTTTCAAGGTGCAAGTTGGACAGCGTTTGAATGGGGGAAACATACATGACTGAAGAATAGACACCTGTACTAATAAGTGAGATTCGGATATTCCATGGACTCTTCATCCACAGCCACAAGAATAAGGGTTTTCATTGGAAAAAAGGAAAAGGAAACGGGTAAGGTAAGCAATCAACCTCTTCAAACGATCTATTCCTTTCCTGCATGAGGCGAAAAGGATCAACAATCCCAGACCTCTGCTTCACCCTGCTGCCTCTCCACCTGCCACTAAAGCTTCATCGCACCTATAAGTGAATCTCAAATAATTCTTTATCATTATTTTAAAAGCAAGTAATTAATGGGCATCATCTCTAAGGTAGAGGTATTAAAAAATGATATCAATCAGACTAAATTACTCCAATCATCATTTAATTTTATGTTTTTATCTAATTATAAGATAAGGTATTAAAAATATTTTAGTATCAGCCCGAATCAAAGGGGTCATGTCTAATGATGAGCTCAAAAATAATTAGGTCAGACTTAATTTATCAAGAGGGGTCCACGTCATCTCAGAGCCCAAGTCAACAAGTCAAAGAGGAGCACAAGTCAAGAAAAAAGTCAAAATCAAGGAGGAGTCCAAGGGGGACACCCTCAAGGGAATACCCCAAGGGGCGCCGCCCAAGTGGGGTTACCCCAAGGGGATCTTTTCCCCCCTTTGTCCCATACTCCACGCAACCTCATAAAGTCCTTCGCCCTCTTGACTTTACCACTCCAATTCAAGTCCAACCCAACTCAGAAGTTCAACTCAACTCAGGAGATCCAGCTCAGAATCCTCCTTCTGAAGGAATAGGAGCACGAGGAAAGAATATCATGATATGCTCGGAGATCTAATCCTACCATAATTGTACTTACCAAAATAGTAAAAGTCTTCTCCCCCACGTCACCGTCTCACTGCCTTACTAAGCCTATATAATGTAAGTCCTCTTTACATAAAGGGCATCACCTTAAAATTTTGACACCACCTTGAGACTTCTACACCTTTAGATCTTTACACAAATTGCTCTCTCTTTCTACCTCTCCCTCTCCCTCTCCTAAAAGCATTGTAACTCTCTTAGAATAAACTCTCCTCGTGCCTTTTATTCATCAATAAAAATTTGCGACCATCGCTGCCGTCCCAAAGAGTGGAGTAAGTCACCCGGACTGAACCACTATAAATCTCTGTATTGATTTCATATTTATTGTTCTGCCATAGATTGTTCTATTTACTGCTCATTAATTACACTCATTCATAAATTTGACTGTTGATCTTGCACAATACCAATTTGTACATCATCATCTAATACCCTGTGTTTGGTATAAACTAATACCCTATATCACGTGATATTAAGTAAAATATGATTTTTGTTATTAATATCTAAAATAATAAACTTTTACTTTTGAACTTAATATCATACATTAATATCTCATCCATTCATAATATTGATATTAGAATAATAATAAATTCACACTTCATACTAACCTTACAATAAACATGATACAATAGAAAAATGATTAATCCATAACTACAACCACTATCTATCTATATCTATCCTATATCTATATTTATAATACTAATATTAAGTGAAAAATTTTTGATTTACTATTTTACCTTTACAAAGAAGTTTAAATACCACACTATCTCTTCATAGTTAAATATCTAAATTATAATCATATCCTTATGTATTTAAATCTTCAAATTACCCTTTAACATTTCTTTTAATCTACTATTATTTTTGCATAAATGTCAATTTATGAAAATTTTTAATTAATTACATTACCCTTAAAAAAAATATATGAATTATTATAGTTTTCAATAAAGTGTTCAAAAACTCTATTAATAGATCATTAATCTTTTCAAATATAAAAATAATATTATGTCTATATATATGTATTTTTTTCCATTTATACTACTAATAAAGAATGAAATTTTTGCCTTAACATGAAAAACTTTTTATTCAATATTTTATTCTTATAAGAGACTATTTTTTTGTAGTTAATTATCTAAATTATCATCATTAACTTATATGTTTAAATCTCTAAATTACCTCAGCATCTCTTTTAATTTTCTATTTACTATGTATAAATATCAATATTTATGAAACTTTTTAATTGACTACAAACATTCAAAAAATCTTCAAAAACTTCATTAATCTAATATAACTCATTTCAAATATAAAAATAATATTATGCTTACATATGTGTATTTTTTTTTATCCAAAATTTCAACAATTTCATTTTTAAGATAAAAAATAATCTTTTATGTAGTTTTTTAAAATAATTTATATTAAATCAACATAATTCTTTAATCACAGTAAACTTTTCATATTTTATTAAGAGTTTATATAAAAAAAAATTGTATTAAATTTTTAAGTAAAACTTGAATTTTAAAATTTTAATATTCTTTTAAAATTTATATTATAGAGTCGTACATTATATTTTAGAGTTAATAGCACTTTTAGTCAGTAAAATATGTATATTTTATCAATTTGGTTCTCATTGCATCAATTTTGTTTCTAAAATATTTAGTTAATGTTTAAATGATCCGTATACGGACAATCTATTAAGTTTTGGACAGAAATGATCACGTGCTGATTACGTGATACTATCTAAACGAATGACACACTTCAATCAAAAAACTTAATAAATCATCTGGTTAGGGGCCATTTAAACAAAAAATGAATATTTTAAGAACCAAATTGATAAAATTTATATATTAAAGACTAAACTGATAAAAAAAATATATTTTAGAGTCTAAAAATATTATCAACCCTATATTTTATCCCTGTTGACCTGACTAATTTCTAATTATAGTAAACATTAATTAGAATTTTGACAATTATTTTTATTTTATTTTATTTAATAAATTATTAGATGAAACTTAATCATATGAATTTTAAATAAATTATTTTTATCTTTTTTTCTTATAATTACAATAACATATCAATAGAAACAGATAATATTTTTTNATCATATGAATTTTAAATAAATTATTTTTTTATCTTTTTTCTTATAATTACTATAACATATCAATAGAAACAGACAATATTTTTTAAATTCTATAATATAATACGAGCAATAAAAATATAATTTTAATAAATTTAAAATAATATTTAATATATGTACATATAAACCTAATATTTTTTATTAATACTTTGTATATAAAAATTATTCACGTGCAACACATACAGTGAATTGCTGGTGGCTTAAAATGGAATAAGCTATTCAATTCCTTTCCATATTATACACAAACCAAAAATGCCCTTACAGCCCAACTTCTTGATTTGGTCAAACACATCTGTAATTGAAACAAATAGTTGAGCAGCTTACTTTTCAGAGAGAGAAAAGTAAACCATAATGAACGAAGATCACGCTGGCAGAGAAAAAAAAAAAAAACACAGAAATAGAAGCAAATAAACTGAGGTAATTAACAGCCCTTACATGGTGAACAAGTCGGGGTTCGACGCTGATTCTAAATTTAGACTACTTAATGACTTCTATTCAAAAAACTACTGGCACTCTAACAGCAGGTTTCAGGGAAAATGCAATAAATATGTACACTAGCTTTATTACACATTCCACATCAAAATTGGCATTGCCATTCATCAAGCAGTAGCCGTAAAACACTAGACCACCACTGCCTACCACTAGCAAAGCTGTCAAAAGGTTTTTGTTAAAAATGGATGTACATCACTGACAAGAACCCAATCACAGGTCAATGGGGGCCGTCAGGCTGAGTCTTTGAACCATACAACAACGTTGGCCACACCACTAAGTGCCGTGCACAAGCATGCATNATTCAAATTGGTTCTGAATGAAAGCCATCTCTACCAGTTCCAGCCAATCTAGACCAGAGGTACCTACATTCGTCGCAGGAACAGATAAAAGTGTACTGTAGTATGGTCCTGGACTCGCACTAACAAACCTTCACCAGCACCATTTTTTTTTTCTTGGTACTCTTATGTTTCCTGGATAATATAGTTTAAGCAGGCAGTACATACATAATCCTTGACAGTAGAATCAAAAACTGATTTCAACATCTATGTTAGCATGATTAATTAACAGCTTGAAACTGGTTCTGAATGAAATCCATCTCTACCAATTCCAGCCAATCTGGACCAGAGGTACCTACATTCGTCGCAGGAACAGATAAAAGTATACCGTAGTATGGTCCTGGACTCGCACTAACAAACCTACACGAGCATATCATTCTTTTTTCTGGGTAGACTACGTTTCCTGGATAATATAGTTTGAGCAGGTAGTACATACATAATCATTGGCAGTAGAATTGTTTCCCAATATTTATGACTTGCTAAGTAAGCTGTCCACAATTCGCTCACGTTGCTTAGTACACATGCATCAGCTTCAATTTTTTAAGAGTAAACTACACCTATGGTGCTCTAACTATGACCCTTGTGTCAATTAAGTCGCCCTTCTCTCGTTGAGTGTGCCGATCACGTAACCGGGCCGCGACTCATTTGTGTACACACTTCGCCACTTTCCATTAGATTTGCGGTCAGAAAGGCTCACTTGACACAAGGTTCATAGTTTAAGAGTCATATGTGTAGTTTACTCATTTTTTAATTGATGGATAGCATTAAGACTCTAACCCCAAAACCCACCCCACGGTCCCCACCCATTAGATGTCTTGCCGCATTTTACCAACTTTGCCACAATACCTTTGGCCTCATATATAGCTTCCACAAAACAGCCATTCTGCTGGTGCTTGTCACAATCAAGCTAGAGAAAACTGTATCATATAGACATAAGTAGGGTTCCCCCATACAAAGCAGGCTTTTTTCTTTTTACCATGGCTAAAATGTAAGTAAGTGATTAAAATGCTTATTGTGATTGAAATGTAACTGGGTGGTTAAATGTTTAATATGGTTAAAAGGTAAGCATTGTTAAAATGTTTAATATGGTTAAAAGGTAACCAGTGCACATTTCAACACATGGCATTGGGGTGCGCCACAACCAAACTCTGATGCTGATGCATAAGCAATAAAGCTATTATCAAAGGTTTCAATGGTATACCTTGGGACCACGATCAACCAACCGAGCCCATTCATTTCGATTCCTCAGACAATCAAGAACAGCCTGTGAGTGACTTGAATATGCATACCGCTCTCCATTATGCTTCCTCAAGTGAGGCCAGTGCTGCAGAGGGAAAGCAATAAATGAACACAAATGAGTAGTAGTATCTCTCTCTCCAAGCAAGAGAAAGAAAGTAATCAAGGGAGGAAGACACACTGCGGGAGAGAAGAAACCATACTGGCAGAACTGCATTACAGAGTTCTTCATATGTCATGCGCTTGCCCTTACCCATGATCTCAGCAAGCAAGCCTATGATTAAACAAATAAATAAGCAAGCCTGTAAGAATACACATCTCCCAAAGTAATACTTCAAAGTTGGAACCATTTCAGGGAAGCTTTGAAACATAATATCTAAAAGATTGAACAACTCAGAAAGGCAACAACCAGGTAAAGTGCGATGGGCATGACGACCCACTGTATCAACATCATCGTCAGAGGCATTTTGGGGTGAGTTGCGAGTGGATGACAAATTCTGTTCATTAACCTCAGTGGAGGAAGATGGACCACTGCTTGCAGTAGAGGCAGGAGGGATACTCTTCATGACAGAGTGCACTTCTTTTGGTGGCCCATAGTCCGTCTCCCTCTTGGTAACAGCACCTGCTGAGCATGCTGAATCATGTTTTCTCTGATCAAGCGAAGAAGCTACTCTATCCAATTTCTTAGCTTCATCATCAGGATCGCGATAACTTCGTGGCCCGTCTTTTGCTAAATCCTTGCTTTTTCTTCTAGGAACCTAAGAAGAGCATTAAACATTAGACTAGTAAACGGGTCAAGATATAGCACACAGCCTACATTTCCAAGGGCTACAAAATATAAGAACCCAAGGCAGCTTACCAAACCGTGATCTTTTGCTCCAGAACTAGATGTCCGCTTCATTAGCATGCTCGTAGCAGTTGGAGAAGTTAATTGAGGTAAGCTACCAGCTTGACGCATGCGTGGCACTCGAGGAACTCTTGGAGAACTGTTAAGTTCTTGATGCAAAAGTAGAGCAAGCTGCATTAAACTCCACAAAGTTAAAAACTGGTGATGGGATGTGAAAAAGTCATTCATTATTAAAATGCTAGTTCAGTCCCACCTCTTCATCGCTCAGTGTAGCAGGGGAGTTTGAAGGAGCAGGCGGGTGCATTGGTGCTGCATGGTTCATCTTGGATGATGGCTGGCAATTTAACTGGTTAGTTTTTTCACCTCTGTGGGGTAAATTTGAGGCTGTACTCTTATTTTGTACATGCGAAGCACTATCAGTTTGCGATGAACAGCCCAACTCTCGATAGTCCGGAGCAGCTGCAATGTTCTGGGCTGATGATGTTTTAGAAGATGAAGAAACCAAAGGATGCTTTGAATCAGACAAGGTTTTCTTAGATACAGAAGCATGTGAGAACTTGATTGAGTGTGCTGTTTTCGGTATAGAACTGACAGAAGTTTTTGAATACTCTGTCACATTTTTTTTTGCCCTTTCACAACTATCTCCATCTCTAACCAAATCATTCAAGGCATTGTCTTTCTTACTACTGACACTGCCATCATACGTTCCCTTCTGTTTAGCACTAGAATTATGATTTTGAACACTTACAGGCCTACGGCTATCAGAAACCGAGGATTTAGAAATCAAATTGGCCGACAAAGTTGGAGAGGATTTTCCCATGGATACTACCATTTTAATCGGACTGGATTTTGCTGGAGGACATAAGACTGTGCTCCCTGATTTCAATGTCTCTTCAGCAGGTCTTAAACCATATTTCAATTCAGAAGAACTTTTCCACACCGCCATGGAACTTTCTGCGCCTGACAAATGACATATAGCTTGATAGGGATCATTGACTGATGCATCAGCTCCATCTGCTTGTGAATCACCAACTTTTGCCATAAACCTGTCAGTATCTTGCACTTTATGGACACTGAATTGAAAACTAGCTGTGGCATCATCATCCATTTTAGAATTTTCAGACAATTGATCAGCAGAAATCCCTACATGTTGGGCCAAGGGATTCACGCCATCCAATTTTACATCATTAGGAGGTGACAGTGTCACAATAGAGACCCCTGTAGTATTATCAAGTTCGACTTCTGCTTTCACTTTGACTTCAGGCTGTAAGGAACTTGGAGACATCTCAACATTTATTTCTTGCAAATAATGATTTTCCTTGCCTTTGGGTGCAGTCGTTGCCTGATCTTCAACAAGATGCTCTGTTTTCTGCAAGTCAAGGCCACTACTTCTAGAAACTTCCCCCTTATCATTCATATTATCAAGTGCATTACCAACAACCTAATAACAATATTACGAGAAAACATCAGCAAAAATTAAGTAGCACTAGAAGAGGTGACGCAGGAATTATCTGTCTATGGGTATTACAAATATACAATGCACATACAGTATATATAACACAAACATGCAACCATATATACATATGTATGTGCGTCGTGTGTGTACACATGCATAGGGGTGTCAAACGTGTTGGGTTAAACGGTTACGTGTCTGGTTAAACAGGTGACGGATGAAAAATATGTAAACCCGTACACGACACATTTAATAAACGGGTAAAAAATCTAAACACGAACCATTTAATAAATAGATAACACGACACGACTCATTTAACCCATTTAATTCTATTAAAATTTTAACCCACAGAAAAAACTATCCTATTAAAATTTTAAATTCCATTAATTACCCACATCAACTGTACTCTTTTAATTAAAAGATTTTCAGCTGGCTGCCACTTGCAAAGGCAAATGAGAAGTTTAATGACTAAAAGAAGGAGTTGCATCTTTTTATAGACATGTGAGGTCTCCTTCATTTGAATTAGTCGATGTGAGATTTAAGCCACAGTTTTCACTGTGTTCACTGTGCAAGTTTGTGCTCCTTGAAGTCTTTTCTTCCTGGTTCCTATCTCGCACACGACACAGAAACCCACCCTCGACCATACTCTGTAGTTGTGTTGCGACCAGAAATAGGTGAAAAATGGCGATAGCTTTTGCTACATCCATGTCTTCACCTTCGACTCACCGTCTCTTACCAACAAACTCGATCAGCCCAGAAATCAAAGAATGAAGCTTCAGCTTCAGTGGCTTTCTTCATTGTGGAATTGGGTCCTTAGATTTGTAGAGAATTCAGATGTTCTTTGGAATTGGGTCTTTAGATTTGATTCTTTGGAATTGAGACTTTAGATTTGTTGAGAACTCAAATGTTTATTGTGGAATAGGGGGTTGGGTCTGTTCTTTCAAGAAAGAGATTGAAGGGTATTGGGTCTGTTTTATTGAATTCAGTTTTTACCCTCAACCAGGTTCCCACATCGAGCATTGCATAGGGGGTAAGTGAATAATCTGTACTTAATTTTTTAGAAGTAAAATTTTTCTTTACATATTTACCGTATAATTATATATAATTAATATTTTATTTTAAAATTGACTAATTTTTTAAAAATAATTATTAATTTATTATTATATTAATTTTTTTAAATGAATAAACAAGTTGACAAGTTTCACCCGAACACGACCCATTTATTAAACGTGTCTGGCGGGTTAACCCGTTTATCAGTCGAACCCGTTAAGGTTTTATCAAAACCTGTTTAATTCGTGTCGGTTAATCGTGTCGTGTCGGATTTTAACAGGCCTACACATGCATACACACACACACACACGTCTGTGTGTTATAAGTCTTATACATCCCGGAATTTGTAAGTAGTTAGAATGTAATTTGCTTAGTGGAGAGGCGGGGAAGTTTTCAATACAAAAAGAATCTAATAAATAGTGGAGGGGGTACATTAAAAAGTAATTTAGGAGCTAATAAGAAGCTATGATTTTAATACCTCATTAATCCATGTTTTTTTATCATCAATCCTAACGTGGTATTCAGTAGGGTGAGAAAACAAGCCAGAAACCTGGACAAATTGTCATCGTGCCTATCTATTATACACAATTTGAAAAAGAAAAAAACAATAGGGTAAATTAGCTTTAAAGACACATCAAGGCCTACCTCTTCTTTAATGGCAGCACTCCCATTGTANACCTGGACAAATTGTCATCGTGCCTATCTATTATACACAATTTGAAAAAGAAAAAAAAAATAGGGTAAATTAGCTTTAAAGACACATCAAGCCCTACCTCTTCTTTAATGGCAGCACTCCCATTGTGATCTAATGATGACGCCACAAAATCGTCAGTTTTAGGAAAACCCTCAATCCTAACAGGAACTTGATGCTCCACCCTGTCTTCTTTTGGTCTTGCTTCATTAGAAGAATTATATCTCCCCACATCAGATGATAAGGCTTCTGAAGGTTCCTCAGCAAAAGCTAGGTTGTTCTTACAATTGCCAACATCTTTGTCCACAAGGTGATTATCACATGAATTTCCATTTTTGCAACCTTGAGCATCAATCTTTTGACCCTTAAAAGCTCTGACTTCACAAAATTCCAATCGTTTTGCATCAGTTGGTTCTGTGGANGGTCAAGATATAGCACACAGCCTACATTTCCAAGGGCTACAAAACATAAGAACCCAAGGCAGCTTACCAAACCGTGATCTTTTGCTCCAGAACTAGATGTCCGCTTCATTAGCATGCTCGTAGCAGTTGGAGAAGTTAATTGAGGTAAGCTACCAGCTTGACGCATGCGTGGCACTCGAGGAACTCTTGGAGAACTGTTAAGTTCTTGATGCAAAAGTAGAGCAAGCTGCATTAAACTCCACAAAGTTAAAAACTGGTGATGGGATGTGAAAAAGTCATTCATTATTAAAATGCTAGTTCAGTCCCACCTCTTCATCGCTCAGTGTAGCAGGGGAGTTTGAAGGAGCAGGCGGGTGCATTGGTGCTGCATGGTTCATCTTGGATGATGGCTGGCAATTTAACTGGTTAGTTTTTTCACCTCTGTGGGGTAAATTTGAGGCTGTACTCTTATTTTGTACATGCGAAGCACTATCAGTTTGCGATGAACAGCCCAACTCTCGATAGTCCGGAGCAGCTGCAATGTTCTGGGCTGATGATGCTTTAGAAGATGAAGAAACCAAAGGATGCTTTGAATCAGACAAGGTTTTCTTAGATACAGAAGCATGTGAGAACTTGATTGAGTGTGCTGTTTTCGGTATAGAACTGACAGAAGTTTTTGAATACTCTTTCACATTTTTTTTTGCCCTTTCACAACTATCTCCATCTCTAACCAAATCATTCAAGGCATTGTCTTTCTTACTACTGACACTGCCATCATACGTTCCCTGCTGTTTAGCACTAGAATTATGATTTTGAACACTTACAGGCCTACGTCTATCAGAAACCGAGGATTTAGAAATCAAATTGGCCGACAAAGTTGGAGAGGATTTTCCCATGGATACTACCATTTTAATCGGACTGGATTTTGCTGGAGGACATAAGACTGTGCTCCCTGATTTCAATGTCTCTTCAGCAGGTCTTAAACCATATTTCAATTCAGAAGAACTTTTCCACACCGCCATGGAACTTTCTGCGCCTGACAAATGACATATAGCTTGATAGGGATCATTGACTGATGCATCAGCTCCATCTGCTTGTGAATCACCAACTTTTGCCATAAACCTGTCAGTATCTTGCACTTTATGGACACTGAATTGCAAACTAGCTGTGGCATCATCATCCATTTTAGAATTTTCAGACAATTGATCAGCAGAAATCCCTACATGTTGGGCCAAGGGATTCACGCCATCCAATTTTACATCATTAGGAGGTGACAGTGTCACAATAGAGACCCCTGTAGTATTATCAAGTTCGACTTCTGCTTTCACTTTGACTTCAGGCTGTAAGGAACTTGGAGACATCTCAACATTTATTTCTTGCAAATAATGATTTTCCTTGCCTTTGGGTGCAGTCGTTGCCTGATCTTCAACAAGATGCTCTGTTTTCTGCAAGTCAAGGCCACTACTTCTAGAAACTTCCCCCTTATCATTCATATTATCAAGTGCATTACCAACAACCTAATAACAATATTACGAGAAAACATCAGCAAAAATTAAGTAGCACTAGAAGAGGTGACGCAGGAATTATCTGTCTATGGGTATTACAAATATACAATGCACATACAGTATATATAACACAAACATGCAACCATATATAAATATATATGTGCGTCGTGTGTGTACACATGCATAGGGGTGTCAAACGTGTTGGGTTAAACGGTTACGTGTCGGGTTAAACAGGTGACGGGTGACAAATATGTAAACCCGTACACGACACATTTAATAAACGGGTAAAAAATCTAAACACGAACCATTTAATAAATAGATAACACGACACGACTCATTTAACCCGTTTAATTCTATTAAAATTTTAACCCACAGAAAAAACTATCCTATTAAAATTTTAAATTCCATTAATTACCCACATCAACTGTACTCTTTTAATTAAAAGATTTTCAGCTGGCTGCCACTTGCAAAGGCAAATGAGAAGTTTAATGACTAAAGGAAGGAGTTGCATCTTTTTATAGGCATGTGAGGTCTCCTTCATTTGAATTAGTCGATGTGGGATTTAAGCCACAGTTTTCACTGTGTTCATTGTGCAAGTTTGTGCTCCTTGAAGTCTTTTCTTCCTGGTTCCTATCTCGCACACGACATAGAAACCCACCCTCGACCATACTCTGTAGTTGTGTTGCGACCAGAAATAGGTGAAAAATGACGATAGCTTTTGCTACATCCATGTCTTCACCTTCGACTCACCGTCTCTTACCAACAAACTCGATCAGCCCAGAAATCAAAGAATGAAGCTTCAGCTTCAGTGGCTTTCTTCATTGTGGAATTGGGTCTTTAGATTTGTAGAGAATTCAGATGTTCTTTGGAATTGGGTCTTTAGATTTGATTCTTTGGAATTTAGACTTTAGATTTGTTGAGAACTCAAATGTTTATTGTGGAATAGGGGGTTGGGTCTGTTCTTTCAAGAAAGAGATTGAAGGGTATTGGGTCTGTTTTATTGAATTCAATTTTTACCCTCAACCAGGTTCCCACATCGAGCATTGCATAGGGGGTAAGTGAATAATCTGTACTTAATTTTTCAGAAGTAAAATTTTTCTTGACATATTTACCGTATAATTATATATAATTAATATTTTATTTTAAAATTGACTAAATTTTTTTAAAATAATTATTAATTTATTATTATATTAATTTTTTTAAATGAATAAACGGGTTGACAAGTCTCACCCGAACACGACCCATTAATTAAATGTGTCTGGCGGGTTAACCCGTTTATCAGCCGAACCTGTTAAGGTCTTACCAAAACCTGTTTAATTCGTGTCGCTTAATCGTGTCGTGTCGGATTTTAACAGGCCTCCACATGCATACACACACACACACACGTCTAAGTGTGATAAGTCTTATACATCCCGGAATTTGTAAGTAGTTAGAATGTAATTTGCCTAGTGGAGAGGTGGGGAAGTTTTCAATACAAAAAGAATCTAATAAATAGTGGAGGGGGTACATTAAAAAGTAATTTAGGAGCTAATAAGAAGCTATGATTTTAATACCTCATTAATCCATGTTTTTTTATCATCAATCCTAACGTGGTATTCAGTAGGGTGAGAAAACAAGCCAGAAACCTGGACAAATTGTCATCGTGCCTATCTATTATACACAATTTGAAAAAGAAAAAAAAAATAGGGTAAATTAGCTTTAAAGACACATCAAGCCCTACCTCTTCTTTAATGGCAGCACTCCCATTGTGATCTAATGATGACGCCACAAAATCGTCAGTTTTAGGAAAACCCTCAATCCTAACAGGAACTTGATGCTCCACCCTGTCTTCTTTTGGTCTTGCTTCATTAGAAGAATTATATCTCCCCACATCAGATGATAAGGCTTCTGAAGGTTCCTCAGCAAAAGCTAGGTTGTTCTTACAATTGCCAACATCTTTGTCCACAAGGTGATTATCACATGAATTTCCATTCTTGCAACCTTGAGCATCAATCTTTTGACCCTTAAAAGCTCTGACTTCACAAAATTCCAATCGTTTTGCATCAGTTGGTTCTGTGGATACTAGTCATGTAAATAAAAAATAAAAATAAAAACATAGGGGATCAACACGTGTATGTAATGTACAATAAGAACTAATCCATCAACAACATTTACATCAATAACATAAAAGAAGCAACTAGCAGTCCAAACATAAATTGAATAACCATTTTATATTAGAAAAAAGGAAGCAAAGCATCTTAAGCATTACAAAGTTCATGAAATCACCAGATTTGGGGGCATGTGCAGCTTTCTTCTTTGAATCTGCCTCTCTATCACCAGTCCTGGCTTTCTTCTTTCCACTTCGATCTTTGGCCGTCCCCAGGTCTTCTTTCTTACGTTTACCATAATGAACTACAATAGGATGAAGCAAACTTCTATCCTTCTTCACATCATTCTGTGGCTGCCTAACATCAACATCTTCACAGTCACGCCTCTGCATATCATGCGAATGTGCCAACCAGTTGGAGCCATCTTCATCAACTTGTTTTTCCATGCAAGACAAAGTAGCCACAGGAGTATGCAAGGCATTCTCTTTCGACAACGAGAATAAGACACCGGCCCCTTTATCAACAGGATTTCCATTTTCTTCTGCGGATTTCCTATCAACATCCAGCTTCTCATCCCAACAAGGGAACTCACTATATTGAAAATTGAACTTTTTGGGCACATACCCAGTACACTTCCATAACTCGGGGCTGAAAACCGACGACAACCCACCGAACAAACTAGGGTTACCACCTGGAATACCTTGAACATGCACTCTCTCCTCCATCGGAAGATCAGTCCAAAGCCTAAACGGCCTCCGAGGAGGACAATTCGAAGGGTAAGGATTGTCCATCCTCAATGTTTTAGTAGGTAATTCAACCAACAATTGTGCAACCTCAGTTTCTTCACTATCGTTCCTACTGTTCTTACTCTTACATTTATCACAAGCAAATAATTTCTCACTCTTGACGTAGCGAGAGCACCGCGTGTGCACCCACACGCCACACTCATCACAATTAACCATCTCTTCCCCATCGTCAAAATTCACACCACACACACAATCCACCGTCCATGAACCATCTACCCAGTCATCATGCGGGTCCGTTATCGGAAGCCGATGCGACCGGCTCTTCATAGCTTCCAAATTTTCACCTCTTTCCGGAAAACCTAACTCCTAAACCTATATTTCCACAAAATAAAATTCCTAAACCGACACTTAATTCTCATGATAAAAGGTAAATGAATATGTTCAAACTTCAAAGTTCAGCAGTTTCCATTGATATTCAAATCAATAAGGTCTCATACTCAGGAATTGAGAAAGAATGAGAAACGAGTTAAAGAACGTGTACCCTGGAACCGAACTCTTCAGCGTGAACGTAATTGATACGATGACGGAGCAACGGTTGATGGGCTTGTTGTGATCTCCCTCTCCGTGAGATCTCTTAGAAAACTATCGATTGGGAAGCGGTTTAGTTTGGCTTGGTGAATCAGTAATGAAGGCTGTTACCTGGCAATCTCATCCGAAGGTAAGATGTCTCTCTCTCTCGAAATTGGTTATGAATTTGCTTGACGTCCGCCAAGTCTGCTTCTTAGCTAGCGTGGCTTGGCTTCAAAATATCGCATTTGATTGGTCCACAGTTCAAGGCCCATTTGTTTAGAAACCCATTAAAACCCATGTGGCCTGTTTGATTGGATTAAGAAAAAATAGCCCAACCCAATAGCTTATCTTGTTTGGTTGGCATGTCTCCGGGCCGGCAATGGTCTCTAAGTTTCTCCAGGTCCGACTTCAACAATAAGCATAAGCCCATGTATAGAGACCTGACTTGTTTATCATTCGTTTTGTTCTCAATGGTTTAATTTTTTATTCGTGTATTTTATTATGAAATTATCAAGCGGGTTGATTGTGCCCGTTCAAAAAAAAAAAAAAAAAAAAACCTAATGGGGGGTGGTTTTCAAAAATGGGCAGGCTGGATTGATGGGTAAAAAAACAAGGGGTTTTTTTAGGTGTAGATACAATTTTCAATACTTATTTAAGTACAAGTGTATGGGGAAGTGGTTTATTCAAGTATAATTTTTATAAAATTTTTTATGTTTAGGTACAAAATTCAAATGAATTAAAATCTTTTTTACTTAAACACCCTTCCTTATTTTATGCAGCATGATTGACAGTTATTTTAGAAAATAAATATGTAAAGATTACATATTTGTTATATTTTTTAATTTTTAAATTTTGAATGAACAATTTTTTGAGAGATTTATGCATCTATTGACAGTTATTTTAAGAAACAAATATGTAATCTTTACATATTTGTTGTTTTTATTTTTTTTGAATCAAACGTATGTGTTCAACTGATAAGTTTTCTTCAACGTGTTCAACTATTAAGTCTTCTTCAACGACGATTTATTTCTTCGATGGTGGTTTTCTTTAAAAAAGGAATTACAAATACCAATCATCGTCATCGGATTGAAGGTGAGTTATTCATAATTATATTTCTTCTTTTTTTGGTCATTTCTTTTTGGGAATTTTCTATGTTCGATTTTTGTTTTATGTTCGTTTCTTCTTGAAATAGGGGGAAAAATTGTTTTGATCTTAAATGGGTGTAACTGTTTCTTATGCGTGTGACTATTTTTAGTATAGACAAAATAATTATATTTCTTCTGCAATTAGATCATTTTTTTTTGGGAAATTATATGTTCGATTTTGTGTATGTTTGGTCGTTGTTGGAATGAAGGGGATAAAAAATTTGTTTTTGGGTTTATTATTTTTTGTTTTATATTGTTTTTTTTTGGTCAAGTTGTTCGTTGTTGGGATGAAGGGGAAAAAAAACTGCTATGATTTTTAATGGATGTAACTATTTTTCGTATATACAGTAACTGTTGTGTAAATATGTTGAAAAAAAAAAAAGACTGTTTTAGTTTTTAATTGGTGTAACTATTTTTTGTATAGACAGTAACTGTTGTGTAACTGTGCTGAAAAAAAAGACAATTTTGGTTTTTAATGGGTGTAGCTATTTTTAATGGATGTAATTGTTTTTCATATAAATAGTAACTGTTGTGTAACTGTGTTGAAAAAATTAGAGTTGTATTTTAGTATAACTGTTCTTGAATGAAAGTTTTCAACCAATGTCTATTTTTGGTTGATAATGTATATTGTAATTATTTTGTGTTTATGTTTTTCTTCCAATGTGTGATTAATTAATTCAGTCATTTGTATTAATGTTTTTTTATGTTGTTTTGTGTAATTATTTTTTTCTTTTCCTTTTGAATTGATACAATTTCATTCATTTTTTTATTAATGTCTTCATCAGGAATGAAGTGATGTCCCGTTGCACTTCACAAAGTTAATTAGGAATGGATGGATGTTTTCATCGGATGAGATGTCTCGTTGCACTTCAACTTGCTGCATGAAATCATGAAAATCCCAATTAACTTATACTGTAAATAATTACCAAAAACAGTTACACCATAAAGTTATAACATAGTAAATAGTACAAGAATTACCACAAACTGCAGTTTTGAATATGAACTGTCTATATTTGAATTCAAAATAGTTACTTAAAACAGTTTACGTAACTATTTTTAATCAAAAAAATCATGAACCATAAAGTTCCCAATAACAGACTTATAAGAAATGAATCCTTAAAATCGGAAGAATAGTTACGCAACACAGTTAAACCCATTAAATTTTGAATATGAACTGTATATATTTTGAATCCCAAATAGTTACTTTAAACAGTTACGTAACTATTTTTAATTAAAAAAATCATGACCCATAAAATTGTCAATAATAGACTTATAAGAATTGAATCCTTAAAATCAAAAGAAAAGTTACGCAACACATGTAAACCATTAAATTTGGAATATAAACAATTTATATTTAAATCTCAAATAGTTACTTAAAACAGTTACGTAACTATTTTTAATCAAAAAAATCATGTTCCAAATTATTATATTTTTAATATACATATGTTATAATAGATCTACAAATTCTTAATATATTTTCACAAAATTAGCGTTTTACGATTTGGTTTTATTTTTGAATCAACTTACACAGATCTATCAAAAAAAAACTGAATAATCAATGACTGAAAAAAAAAAAAACACAGATATGGCATTTCCATATGGTTATATTTTGAATCCCTCCACCGAAGAAGATAAGTTTTGATAATTAAACTCCCTATTTTACCTCTCATTTGATTTTAGCCAAAAAAAAAAAAGGCTATGACATTCCCATGGCCATAGAATCCCTTTTGCCGAAGAAGAAGGGATTAGATAATTAAAGTCCTATTTTTTAGCTCCTATTTTTTAACTCCCATTACTTGATTGTAGCCAAAATTTTTGGTAGGAATTCAAATAGTTTCAACCCATCTGCACTTAACTGAATGGCAATAGTGTTATTTTTTAAAAATATGTACTTTACTCCAAATAAATTTTTGTGTTGTACTTTTACCTAAATAAGTCTAAAAAATTGTACCGACTTCTAAATCACCCAAAAAACAATCCTATCCTTCAATTCATTCATCTATTTATACAATGGGCTCCTTCAAAGATGGATAGGCTGGATGGAAGATTGGTGTATTTGATAGAAAGATTGTGGACCTTACTTCTACTTATGTATGTTTATCAAACATGGGGTTCAGAAAAAGGAGACCATGAATTTCATAAACCATTCTAATCCNGAAATTATCAAGCGGGTTGATTGTGCCCGTTCAAAAAAAAAAAAAAAAAAAAACCTAATGGGGGGTGGTTTTCAAAAATGGGCAGGCTGGATTGATGGGTAAAAAAACAAGGGGTTTTTTTAGGTGTAGATACAATTTTCAATACTTATTTAAGTACAAGTGTATGGGGAAGTGGTTTATTCAAGTATNTGATAGAAAGATTGTGGACCTTACTTCTACTTATGTATGTTTATCAAACATGGGGTTAAGAAAAAGGAGACCATGAATTTCATGAACCATTCTAATCGNATTACAAATATACAATGCACATACAGTATATATAACACAAACATGCAACCATATATAAATATATATGTGCGTCGTGTGTGTACACATGCATAGGGGTGTCAAACGTGTTGGGTTAAACGGTTACGTGTCGGGTTAAACAGGTGACGGGTGACNACAGCTAGTATAATTTCAAGTCCTGCTAATGAATCGAGCCAAACCGAATATTGAGTTATTCAAACTTGATTCATCTATTTTTGAAATATATTCAGGATCAACTCATATTCTTAGTGAGCTTCANAAATTCAAATGAATTAAAATCTTTTTTACTTAAACACCCTTCCTTATTTTATGCAGCATGATTGACAGTTATTTTAGAAAATAAATATGTAAAGATTACATATTTGTTATATTTTTTAATTTTTAAATTTTGAATGAACAATTTTTTGAGAGATTTATGCATCTATTGACAGTTATTTTAAGAAACAAATATGTAATCTTTACATATTTGTTGTTTTTATTTTTTTTGAATCAAACGTATGTGTTCAACTGATAAGTTTTCTTCAACGTGTTCAACTATTAAGTCTTCTTCAACGACGATTTATTTCTTCGATGGTGGTTTTCTTTAAAAAAGGAATTACAAATACCAATCATCGTCATCGGATTGAAGGTGAGTTATTCATAATTATATTTCTTCTTTTTTTGGTCATTTCNTTAAACAAAGGCATGTCAACCAAGTCAATGGCCAACAAGTGCTAACAAAACGAGACCATGAACGATTTGATTGATTTGTAGTTCAAAATTCCAATCTCAAAGTCCATTTCATGTGGATTTCATAAGCATCTAAATCATAGTGCAAGGATTATTATTTGATGTAATTGCCATATTATGTCGCGATCAAGTATAATTTCAATGTTTATGGTGGNAAAAGATTTTCAGCTGGCTGCCACTTGCAAAGGCAAATGAGAAGTTTAATGACTAAAGGAAGGAGTTGCATCTTTTTATAGGCATGTGAGGTCTCCTTCATTTGAATTAGTCGATGTGGGATTTAAGCCACAGTTTTCACTGTGTTCATTGTGCAAGTTTGTTCTCCTTGAAGTCTTTTCTTCCTGGTTCCTATCTCGCACACGACATAGAAACCCACCCTCGACCATACTCTGTAGTTGTGTTGCGACCAGAAATAGGTGAAAAATGACGATAGCTTTTGCTACATCCATGTCTTCACCTTCGACTCACCGTCTCTTACCAACAAACTCGATCAGCCCAGAAATCAAAGAATGAAGCTTCAGCTTCAGTGGCTTTCTTCATTGTGGAATTGGGTCTTTAGATTTGTAGAGAATTCAGATGTTCTTTGGAATTGGGTCTTTAGATTTGATTCTTTGGAATTTAGACTTTAGATTTGTTGAGAACTCAAATGTTTATTGTGGAATAGGGGGTTGGGTCTGTTCTTTCAAGAAAGAGATTGAAGGGTATTGGGTCTGTTTTATTGAATTCAATTTTTACCCTCAACCAGGTTCCCACATCGAGCATTGCATAGGGGGTAAGTGAATAATCTGTACTTAATTTTTCAGAAGTAAAATTTTTCTTGACATATTTACCGTATAATTATATATAATTAATATTTTATTTTAAAATTGACTAAATTTTTTTAAAATAATTATTAATTTATTATTATATTAATTTTTTTAAATGAATAAACGGGTTGACAAGTCTCACCCGAACACGACCCATTAATTAAATGTGTCTGGCGGGTTAACCCGTTTATCAGCCGAACCTGTTAAGGTCTTACCAAAACCTGTTTAATTCGTGTCGCTTAATCGTGTCGTGTCGGATTTTAACAGGCCTCCACATGCATACACACACACACACACGTCTAAGTGTGATAAGTCTTATACATCCCGGAATTTGTAAGTAGTTAGAATGTAATTTGCCTAGTGGAGAGGTGGGGAAGTTTTCAATACAAAAAGAATCTAATAAATAGTGGAGGGGGTACATTAAAAAGTAATTTAGGAGCTAATAAGAAGCTATGATTTTAATACCTCATTAATCCATGTTTTTTTATCATCAATCCTAACGTGGTATTCAGTAGGGTGAGAAAACAAGCCAGAAACCTGGACAAATTGTCATCGTGCCTATCTATTATACACAATTTGAAAAAGAAAAAAAAAATAGGGTAAATTAGCTTTAAAGACACATCAAGCCCTACCTCTTCTTTAATGGCAGCACTCCCATTGTGATCTAATGATGACGCCACAAAATCGTCAGTTTTAGGAAAACCCTCAATCCTAACAGGAACTTGATGCTCCACCCTGTCTTCTTTTGGTCTTGCTTCATTAGAAGAATTATATCTCCCCACATCAGATGATAAGGCTTCTGAAGGTTCCTCAGCAAAAGCTAGGTTGTTCTTACAATTGCCAACATCTTTGTCCACAAGGTGATTATCACATGAATTTCCATTTTTGCAACCTTGAGCATCAATCTTTTGACCCTTAAAAGCTCTGACTTCACAAAATTCCAATCGTTTTGCATCAGTTGGTTCTGTGGATACTAGTCATGTAAATAAAAAATAAAAATAAAAACATAGGGGATCAACACGTGTATGTAATGTACAATAAGAACTAATCCATCAACAACATTTACATCAATAACATAAAAGAAGCAACTAGCAGTCCAAACATAAATTGAATAACCATTTTATATTAGAAAAAAGGAAGCAAAGCATCTTAAGCATTACAAAGTTCATGAAATCACCAGATTTGGGGGCATGTGCAGCTTTCTTCTTTGAATCTGCCTCTCTATCACCAGTCCTGGCTTTCTTCTTTCCACTTCGATCTTTGGCCGTCCCCAGGTCTTCTTTCTTACGTTTACCATAATGAACTACAATAGGATGAAGCAAACTTCTATCCTTCTTCACATCATTCTGTGGCTGCCTAACATCAACATCTTCACAGTCACGCCTCTGCATATCATGCGAATGTGCCAACCAGTTGGAGCCATCTTCATCAACTTGTTTTTCCATGCAAGACAAAGTAGCCACAGGAGTATGCAAGGCATTCTCTTTCGACAACGAGAATAAGACACCAGCCCCTTTATCAACAGGATTTCCATTTTCTTCTGCGGATTTCCTATCAACATCCAGCTTCTCATCCCAACAAGGGAACTCACTATATTGAAAATTGAACTTCTTGGGCACATACCCAGTACACTTCCATAACTCGGGGCTGAAAACCGACGACAACCCACCGAACAAACTAGGGTTACCACCTGGAATACCTTGAACATGCACTCTCTCCTCCATCGGAAGATCAGTCCAAAGCCTAAACGGCCTCCGAGGAGGACAATTCGAAGGGTAAGGATTGTCCATCCTCAATGTTTTAGTAGGTAATTCAACCAACAATTGTGCAACCTCAGTTTCTTCACTATCGTTCCTACTGTTCTTACTCTTACATTTATCACAAGCAAATAATTTCTCACTCTTGACGTAGCGAGAGCACCGCGTGTGCACCCACACGCCACACTCATCACAATTAACCATCTCTTCCCCATCGTCAAAATTCACACCACACACACAATCCACCGTCCATGAACCATCTACCCAGTCATCATGCGGGTCCGTTATCGGAAGCCGATGCGACCGGCTCTTCATAGCTTCCAAATTTTCACCTCTTTCCGGAAAACCTAACTCCTAAACCTATATTTCCACAAAATAAAATTCCTAAACCGACACTTAATTCTCATGATAAAAGGTAAATGAATATGTTCAAACTTCAAAGTTCAGCAGTTTCCATTGATATTCAAATCAATAAGGTCTCATACTCAGGAATTGAGAAAGAATGAGAAACGAGTTAAAGAACGTGTACCCTGGAACCGAACTCTTCAGCGTGAACGTAATTGATACGATGACGGAGCAACGGTTGATGGGCTTGTTGTGATCTCCCTCTCCGTGAGATCTCTTAGAAAACTATCGATTGGGAAGCGGTTTAGTTTGGCTTGGTGAATCAGTAATGAAGGCTGTTACCTGGCAATCTCATCCGAAGGTAAGATGTCTCTCTCTCTCGAAATTGGTTATGAATTTGCTTGACGTCCGCCAAGTCTGCTTCTTAGCTAGCGTGGCTTGGCTTCAAAATATCGCATTTGATTGGTCCACAGTTCAAGGCCCATTTGTTTAGAAACCCATTAAAACCCATGTGGCCTGTTTGATTGGATTAAGAAAAAATAGCCCAACCCAATAGCTTATCTTGTTTGGTTGGCATGTCTCCGGGCCGGCAATGGTCTCTAAGTTTCTCCAGGTCCGACTTCAACAATAAGCATAAGCCCATGTATAGAGACCTGACTTGTTTATCATTCGTTTTGTTCTCAATGGTTTAATTTTTTATTCGTGTATTTTATTATGAAATTATCAAGCGGGTTGATTGTGCCCGTTCAAAAAAAAAAAAAAAAAAAAACCTAATGGGGGGTGGTTTTCAAAAATGGGCAGGCTGGATTGATGGGTAAAAAAACAAGGGGTTTTTTTAGGTGTAGATACAATTTTCAATACTTATTTAAGTACAAGTGTATGGGGAAGTGGTTTATTCAAGTATAATTTTTATAAAATTTTTTATGTTTAGGTACAAAATTCAAATGAATTAAAATCTTTTTTACTTAAACACCCTTCCTTATTTTATGCAGCATGATTGACAGTTATTTTAGAAAATAAATATGTAAAGATTACATATTTGTTATATTTTTTAATTTTTAAATTTTGAATGAACAATTTTTTGAGAGATTTATGCATCTATTGACAGTTATTTTAAGAAACAAATATGTAATCTTTACATATTTGTTGTTTTTATTTTTTTTGAATCAAACGTATGTGTTCAACTGATAAGTTTTCTTCAACGTGTTCAACTATTAAGTCTTCTTCAACGACGATTTATTTCTTCGATGGTGGTTTTCTTTAAAAAAGGAATTACAAATACCAATCATCGTCATCGGATTGAAGGTGAGTTATTCATAATTATATTTCTTCTTTTTTTGGTCATTTCTTTTTGGGAATTTTCTATGTTCGATTTTTGTTTTATGTTCGTTTCTTCTTGAAATAGGGGGAAAAATTGTTTTGATCTTAAATGGGTGTAACTGTTTCTTATGCGTGTGACTATTTTTAGTATAGACAAAATAATTATATTTCTTCTGCAATTAGATCATTTTTTTTTGGGAAATTATATGTTCGATTTTGTGTATGTTTGGTCGTTGTTGGAATGAAGGGGATAAAAAATTTGTTTTTGGGTTTATTATTTTTTGTTTTATATTGTTTTTTTTTGGTCAAGTTGTTCGTTGTTGGGATGAAGGGGAAAAAAAACTGCTATGATTTTTAATGGATGTAACTATTTTTCGTATATACAGTAACTGTTGTGTAAATATGTTGAAAAAAAAAAAAGACTGTTTTAGTTTTTAATTGGTGTAACTATTTTTTGTATAGACAGTAACTGTTGTGTAACTGTGCTGAAAAAAAAGACAATTTTGGTTTTTAATGGGTGTAGCTATTTTTAATGGATGTAATTGTTTTTCATATAAATAGTAACTGTTGTGTAACTGTGTTGAAAAAATTAGAGTTGTATTTTAGTATAACTGTTCTTGAATGAAAGTTTTCAACCAATGTCTATTTTTGGTTGATAATGTATATTGTAATTATTTTGTGTTTATGTTTTTCTTCCAATGTGTGATTAATTAATTCAGTCATTTGTATTAATGTTTTTTTATGTTGTTTTGTGTAATTATTTTTTTCTTTTCCTTTTGAATTGATACAATTTCATTCATTTTTTTATTAATGTCTTCATCAGGAATGAAGTGATGTCCCGTTGCACTTCACAAAGTTAATTAGGAATGGATGGATGTTTTCATCGGATGAGATGTCTCGTTGCACTTCAACTTGCTGCATGAAATCATGAAAATCCCAATTAACTTATACTGTAAATAATTACCAAAAACAGTTACACCATAAAGTTATAACATAGTAAATAGTACAAGAATTACCACAAACTGCAGTTTTGAATATGAACTGTCTATATTTGAATTCAAAATAGTTACTTAAAACAGTTTACGTAACTATTTTTAATCAAAAAAATCATGAACCATAAAGTTCCCAATAACAGACTTATAAGAAATGAATCCTTAAAATCGGAAGAATAGTTACGCAACACAGTTAAACCCATTAAATTTTGAATATGAACTGTATATATTTTGAATCCCAAATAGTTACTTTAAACAGTTACGTAACTATTTTTAATTAAAAAAATCATGACCCATAAAATTGTCAATAATAGACTTATAAGAATTGAATCCTTAAAATCAAAAGAAAAGTTACGCAACACATGTAAACCATTAAATTTGGAATATAAACAATTTATATTTAAATCTCAAATAGTTACTTAAAACAGTTACGTAACTATTTTTAATCAAAAAAATCATGTTCCAAATTATTATATTTTTAATATACATATGTTATAATAGATCTACAAATTCTTAATATATTTTCACAAAATTAGCGTTTTACGATTTGGTTTTATTTTTGAATCAACTTACACAGATCTATCAAAAAAAAACTGAATAATCAATGACTGAAAAAAAAAAAAACACAGATATGGCATTTCCATATGGTTATATTTTGAATCCCTCCACCGAAGAAGATAAGTTTTGATAATTAAACTCCCTATTTTACCTCTCATTTGATTTTAGCCAAAAAAAAAAAAGGCTATGACATTCCCATGGCCATAGAATCCCTTTTGCCGAAGAAGAAGGGATTAGATAATTAAAGTCCTATTTTTTAGCTCCTATTTTTNTTACTATTTTACCTTTACAAAGAAGTTTAAATACCACACTATCTCTTCATAGTTAAATATCTAAATTATAATCATATCCTTATGTATTTAAATCTTCAAATTACCCTTTAACATTTCTTTTAATCTACTATTATTTTTGCATAAATGTCAATTTATGAAAATTTTTAATTAATTACATTACCCTTAAAAAAAATATATGAATTATTATAGTTTTCAATAAAGTGTTCAAAAACTCTATTAATAGATCATTAATCTTTTCAAATATAAAAATAATATTATGTCTATATATATGTATTTTTTTCCATCTATACTACTAATAAAGAATGAAATTTTTGCCTTAACATGAAAAACTTTTTATTCAATATTTTATTCTTATAAGAGACTATTTTTTTGTAGTTAATTATCTAAATTATCATCATTAACTTATATGTTTAAATCTCTAAATTACCTCAGCATCTCTTTTAATTTTCTATTTACTATGTATAAATATCAATATTTATGAAACTTTTTAATTGACTACAAACATTCAAAAAATCTTCAAAAACTTTATTAATCTAATATTACTCATTTCAAATATAAAAATAATATTATGCTTACATATGTGTATTTTTTTTTATCCAAAATTTCAACAATTTCATTTTTAAGATAAAAAATAATCTTTTATGTAGTTTTTTAAAATAATTTATATTAAATCAACATAATTCTTTAATCACAGTAAACTTTTCATATTTTATTAAGAGTTTATATAAAAAAAAATTATATTAAATTTTTAAGTAAAACTTGAATTTTAGAATTTTAATATTCTTTTAAAATTTATATTATAGAGTCGTACATTATATTTTAGAGTTAATAGCACTTTTAGTCAGTAAAATCTGTATATTTTATCAATTTGGTTCTCATTGCATCAATTTTGTTTCTAAAATAATTAGTTAATGTTTAAATGATCCGTATACGGACAATCTATTAAGTTTTAGACAGAAATGATCACGTACTGATTACGCGATACTATCTAAACGAATGACACACTTCAATCAAAAAATTTAATAAACCATTTGGTTAGGGGCCATTTAAACAAAAAATGAATATTTTAAGAACCAAATTGATAAAATTTATATATTAAAGACTAAACTGATAAAAAAAATATATTTTAGAGTCTAAAAATATTATCAACCCTATATTTTATCCCTGTTGACCTGACTAATTTCTAATTATAGTAAACATTAATTAGAATTTTGACAATTATTTTTATTTTATTTTATTTAATGAATTATTAGATGAAACTTAATCATATGAATTTTAAATAAATTATTTTTTTATCTTTTTTCTTATAATTACTATAACATATCAATAGAAACAGACAATATTTTTCNATCCTAAACGTTCTTTGTTGACACCGGTGCCATCATCACAATTAATGACAAACAAATAATTGCTTAAGAGACAATTCCAACAACTTTTAATTATATCAACATGGGATCCCTTTATTCGCGGTTGGGCACTAAATACTGGGCAAAACCAAACTCAGACCATTATTCTGTGGACTGCACTCTTGGATTAATATACCTCTTATGTCTGCCCTAATTGCCATATGACTGACCCATGAGCGTCGCGAGGAAAGACTAGATATGTCCCATACGAGACGCTATAAGTGATTTTAGTCTACTAGCTTAACTCTTGAAAGAAGAAGCACGTAATGGAATAGTATGAAGAGTTATCTATTCTATTTGATCCCCCTACGCTTCTCATTCCGTAGTTCGCTACAAGAATACAACTTAGCTCATATGAGAAAAAATAACATAGGATATTAAAACCAAAAGATAATCCTTCTCTTAAGATTATGTTGGCGGGTTCAAAATCTGTCTTTTANAATATTTTTTATTAATGCTTTGTATATAAAAATTATTCACGTGCAACACATACAGTGGATTGCTGGTGGCTTAAAATGGAATTAGCTATTCAATTCCTTTCCATATTATACACAAACCAAACNGGGTCTGTTCTTTCAAGAAAGAGATTGAAGGGTATTGGGTCTGTTTTATTGAATTCAATTTTTACCCTCAACCAGGTTCCCACATCGAGCATTGCATAGGGGGTAAGTGAATAATCTGTACTTAATTTTTCAGAAGTAAAATTTTTCTTGACATATTTACCGTATAATTATATATAATTAATATTTTATTTTAAAATTGACTAAATTTTTTTAAAATAATTATTAATTTATTATTATATTAATTTTTTTAAATGAATAAACGGGTTGACAAGTCTCACCCGAACACGACCCATTAATTAAATGTGTCTGGCGGGTTAACCCGTTTATCAGCCGAACCTGTTAAGGTCTTACCAAAACCTGTTTAATTCGTGTCGCTTAATCGTGTCGTGTCGGATTTTAACAGGCCTCCACATGCATACACACACACACACACGTCTAAGTGTGATAAGTCTTATACATCCCGGAATTTGTAAGTAGTTAGAATGTAATTTGCCTAGTGGAGAGGTNCTGTAATTGAAACAAATAGTTGAGCAGCTTACTTTTCAGAGAGAGAAAAGTAAACCACAATGAACGAAGATCACGCTGGCAGAGAGAAAAAAAAAAAAGAACACAGAAATAGAAGCAAATAAACTGAGGTAATTAACAGCCCTTACATGGTGAACAAGCCGGGGTTCGACGCTGATTCTAAATTTAGACTACTTAATGACTTCTATTCAAAAAACTACTGGCACTCTAACAGCAGGTTTCAGGGAAAATGCAATAAATATGTACACTAGCTTTATTACACATTCCACATCAAAATTGGCATTGCCATTCATCAAGCAGTAGCCGTAAAACACTAGACCACCACTGCCTACCACTAGCAAAGCTGTCAAAAGGTTTTTGTTAAAAATGGATGTACATCACTGACAAGAACCCAATCACAGGTCAATGGTGAGTCTTTGAACCATACAACAACGTTGGCCACACCACTAAGTGCCGTGCACAAGCATGCACGAAGGAAACCTGAGATGTTTCACCGTTACATATCACATTGACAAGCACCACAATAGGAGTATTTTCATCGATCATCAGATGGAAAAGTCCTTTCCCAGCCACATATGACAAAACCAAAGAGTAACCATAAGAACTACAGCATGGAATCCTTTTCATCTGAACTGGCAGAAGCCTCACTCCCAACTGGACATGTTCCACCACCCTGCACCTCATCCTCGCTGAACATGCTCTCCTCACTAGAATTGGAAAATGAGCCAACATCATCGTCACTGAGAAAATCTTCCTTGCGTCTTCTCCTAACATCCTTGACACCTCTTCCTGGTAAAGCAAGTCGCCTGCGCTTTCGGGCTTTCCGCTTGCCCTTGGGAAACTCTTCTCGATGTGACCCAAAACCCTTACCTTCCCCATCATTTCCTGCTCTGTCCTTGCTATGCTGGTTTTCCTCCGATTCAAAACTTGATTGATCAGCATCAACCTTGCGTCTCTTCTTACTTGCATTGGTCTGGGACAAACTCATTAGGTTTTCATATGATCATGTGTCATAAAGCAATTTAACGTCCAGGGAAAAAATTTAAAATGCATTCCTACCATTTGTTAAACCAGCACCAACAACAAAACAGAGGAAGGAAAGAAAGAAAAGGAGAGAGAGAGAGAGAGAGAACCGGGGGGGGGGGGGGGGGGG